ATGTGATTTTCTGGATTTTTGTTTTAGATTCCGTCTCTCACAGTTGAAGTGTACCTATGATAAAAATTACAGACCTCTACATGCTTTGTAAGTAGGAAAACCTGCAAAATCGGCAGTGTATCAAATACTTGTTCTCCCCACTGTATATATATACAGCTCTGCAAAAAATTAAGAGACCACTGCACATTTTTCTTAAATCAGCATCTCTACATGTATGACAGCCATTCCATTCCAGTGTCTGTTGAATTCCAACACAGGCACACCTCATTCTACTGAATTAGGTACTGATTAGGTGATCACATGAACCAAATCTTCTTTAACGAGGAAAAGTATGAAATCCACTGCTGTGGTCATCACTATCCTCTTGCAATAGGACCAGCTGGGTGGCAAAAACAGTGCTAATAATACCTCAAAAGTAATATTAATCAAAAAATAACTATTGACCATGCCAAAAGAGTTGAAAAGGAAAGTTTTGAGTGAGGAAAAGAAGGGTTCAATTCTGGCTTTACTGGCAGAGGGATACAGTGAGCGTCAGGTTGCTTCCATCCTTAAAATGTCAAATACGGCGGTTCATAAGAACAAGGTTAAGCAGCAGACATTGGGGACAACAAAGCTACAGACCGGTAGAGGGCGAAAACGACTTTCTACTGACCGGGATGACCGGCAACTCATTCGAATGTCACTCAACAACCGTAGGATGACATCAAGTGACCTACAAAAAGAATGGCAAAAGGCAGCTGGGGTGAAGTGCACGGCGAGGACGGTTCGAAACAGGCTCCTAGGGGCAGGGCTGAAGTCGTGCAAAGCTAGAAAAAAGCCTTAATCAATGAGAAGCAAAGAAGAGCTAGGCTGAGGTTTGCAAAAGACCATTAGGATTGGGCCGTAGAGGACAGGAGTAAGGTCATCTTCTCTGATGAGTCCAATTTTCAGCTTTGCCCAACACCTGGTCGTCTAATGTTTAGACGGAGACCTGGAGAGGCCTACAAGCCACAGTGTCTCGCACCCACTGTGAAATTTGGTGGAGGATCGGTGATGATCTGGGGGTGCTTCAGCAATGCTGGAATCGGGCAGATTTGTCTTTGTGAAGGACGCATGAATCAAGCCACGTACAAGGTTGTCCTGGAAGAAAACTTGCTTCCTTTTGTTCTGACATTGTTCCCCAACTCTGAGGGTTGGTTTTTCCAGCAGGACAATGTGCCATGCCACACAGCTAGGTCAATCAAGGTGTGGATGGAGGACCACCAGATCAAGACCCTGTCATGGCCAGCCCAATCTCCAGACCTGAACCCCATTGAAAACTTCTGGAATGTGATCAAAAGGAAGATGGATGGTCACAAGCCATCAAACAAATAATTTTTGCGCCAGGAGTGGCATAAAGTCACCCAACATCAATGTGAAAGACTGGTGGAGATTATGCCAAGACGCATGAAAGCTGTGATTGAAAATCAGGGTTATTCCACCAAATATTGATTTCTGAACTCTTCCTTAGTTAAAACATTAGTGTTGTTTAAAAATGAACATGAACTTATTTTCTTTGCATTATTCGAGGTCTGACAAAACTGCATCTTTTTTGTTATTTTGACCAGTTGTCATTTTCTGCAAATAAATGCTCTAAATGACAATATTTTTATTTGGAATTTGGGAGAAATGTTGTCAGTAGTTTATAGAATAAAATAAAAATGTTAATTTCATCCAAACACATACCTCTAAATAATAAAACCAGAGAAACGTATATTTTTGCAGTGGTCTCTTAATTTTTTCCAGAGCTGTATATACAGTGGGGGAAAAAAGTATTTAGTCAGCCACCAATTGTGCAAGTTCTCCCACTTAAAAAGATTAGAGAGGCCTGTAATTTTCATCATAGGTACACGTCAACTATGACAGACAAAATGATAATTTTTTTCTCCAGAAAATCACATTGTAGGATTTTTAATGAATTTATTTGCAAATTATGGTGGAAAATAAGTATTTGGTCAATAACAAAAGTTTCTCAATACTTTGTTATATACCCTTTGTTGGCAATGACACAGGTCAAACGTTTTCTGTAAGTCTTCACAAGGTTTTCACACACTGTTGCTGGTATTTTGGCCCATTCCTCCATGCAGATCTCCTCTAGAGCAGTGATGTTTTGGGGCTGTCGCTGGGCAACACGGACTTTCAACTCCCTCCAAAGATTTTCTATGGGGTTGAGATCTGGAGACTGGCTAGGCCACTCCAGGACCTTGAAATGCTTCTTACGAAGCCACTCCTTCATTGCCCGGGCGGTGTGTTTGGGATCATTGTCATGCTGAAAGACCCAGCCACGTTTCATCTTCAATGCCCTTGCTGATGGAAGGAGGTTTTCACTCAAAATCTCACGATACATGGCCCCATTCATTCTTTCCTTTACACGGATCAGTCGTCCTGGTCCCTTTGCAGAAAAAACAGCCCCAAAGCATGATGTTTCCACCCCCATGCTTCACAGTAGGTATGGTGTTCTTTGGATGCAACTCATCATTCTTTGTCCTCCAAACACAACGAGTTGAGTTTTTACCAAAACGTTCTATTTTGGTTTCATCTGACCATATGACATTCTCCCAATCCTCTTCTGGATCATCCAAATGCACTCTAGCAAACTTCAGACGGGCCTGGACATGTACTGGCTTATGCAGGGGGACACGTCTGGCACTGCAGGATTTGAGTCCCTGGCGGCGTAGTGTGTTACTGATGGTAGGCTTTGTTACTTTGGTCCCAGCTCTCTGCAGGTCATTCACTAGGTCCCCCCGTGTGGTTCTGGGATTTTTGCTCACCGTTCTTGTGATCATTTTGACCCCACAGGGTGAGATCTTGCGTGGAGCCCCAGATCGAGGGAGATTATCAGTGGTCTTGTATGTCTTCCATTTCCTAATAATTGCTCCCACAGTTGATTTCTTCAAACCAAGCTGCTTACCTATTGCAGATTCAGTCTTCCCAGCCTGGTGCAGGTCTACAATTTTGTTTCTGGTGTCCTTTGACAGCTCTTTGGTCTTGGCCATAGTGGAGTTTGGAGTGTGACTGTTTGAGGATGTGGACAGGTGTCTTTTATACTGATAACAAGTTCAAACAGGTGCCATTAATACAGGTATGTGATTTTCTGGAGAAACAAATTCTCAATTTGTCTGTCATATTTGACGTGTACCTATGATGAAAATTACAGGCCTCTCTCATCTTTTTAAGTGGGAGAACTTTCACAATTGGTGGCTGACTAAATACTTTTTTCCCCCACTGTATATATATACAGTATATATACATGCAGGGACGGCCTGTTCAATAGGGCGATATGGGCGACGCACTGCCAAACGGGAAAAGGAAGGGATTTTTTTTCTAATCAATTATATCACGGCAACAGTAGTTATCAGTGTTCACGTCTGATCTGCCAGCCACTAAATGTCAAATCAGGCTAAAGTCGTGCTTCAAATGGCCCCGCCCGTTTTTGGGGCGATTTCAGTCAAGTTGAAAATCGCCCAGAAGTCTCTCATAGCCTGTCATGTAAAATCTATTTTTTTCAAATTTCAAAGCTTTCAATACATTCTCTATGGGTGTCTGTGGGCTTGCACTTACGCGCTTTCGTCATACGTGACGTAACCATGAACGTAACTAAGACAATAGCGGCTAGCAGCGTCTCTGTTGCGACCTGCAGTGTGGCGTTATTTTATGTTTTTAATTTGTAGACTTAGTTTACAAACATTCTGCCAACCATGGATTTCCAGTGGTTGGTTTTGGACTGATCTTGTTGATCGTGTACATACCCGCTACGAACGGACTAAATAATGAAAACGCTGCTGGCAGCGGAATCCCAATACAGCTGGGAGACTTGGCTGGATGACAGAGTCCCGGACAGAGAAGTGGAGCCGGCCGGCTTCACCCTGGTCAGAGCGGACCGCGATCCTGGTAAGAGAGCGACTCTGTACCCCGACATTGAGCTGCTTTCTGTGTCATTGCGACCTTACTATCTGCCCCGTGAGTTCCCCCAATTGTTTGTTACCGTTGTGTACTGTTGATAATCACAAGTTTACTGGAGAACTGAGACCAAGTAGAGACTTTGGACAGGGTGGATATGGTATAATAAAGGCAGTTTATTCAGAGGTAAAGATATCTGGAATCGCGTGCACGGACTCGTTCGTCAAACTCTTAGGGAGAAGAGAGCCCCGAAAACATTGTGTGCAGACATTTTATACAATAAATGATGTAGGTTGAATCTAGTAGTTCTGATCTTCTGATTGGTCCTGATGAGTTGGGCGAGGTCCCCTCCACTGTTGCATTGGCTCTGAGTCGGGTTCTCTGTCTTCAAATGTTCAGCCTAAAGAGAGGGGATTTTTGTGTGTGTGTGTGTGTGTGTGTTTAACAGTGATGATGTGTGTGTGTGTGTGTGTTATCAGTGATGATGTGTGTGTGTGTGTGTGTGTGTGTGTGTCCTCAGAGCAAGAACTCGTGAGTTGGAAGAACTGAGAGACCTATGGCGTGGGTGTTGTCCTTGGCCACCTGCTGACAAGGCTGACAAGATAGGACTCTTTTGTCCATTGTTATAGGATAGGAACAGCATTGATTGAAAACAAACGCCCAACACAAAATGGGTCATGCACAAGATTTTAGTCAGACCAAGCTATAACATTATATATTTACTACGACAGTACATTCAACCAAAAGCTAATATAACAAAGGCATCAGAGATTATTTATAATCTGTCACAGAAACTGGAATCCATCTCCCCAGATCAGTCAATAAATGCTTCTGGTATTGACTTATATGCTGCCCCTGTCTTCATGTTGTTGCTGGACATATCTTTTTTAAAATGTGTGTAGGTCACCTAAATCATCAGAAAAATTGCCCCTCCTGAGAATTTTTTCAGGAGCCGCCACTGTATACATATATATTAAAGATTAGTCATTATCTAAATGTGTGCATAGGAGATGGCTTGATCTTTAATTTTCAAACATATAGCAACACTTTAGTGACAGTATAAAAAAGACAGAAACATAAGCTTAGTAAAGAGTTAGGACTTTTATTTTTCTAATACAACCCAATGCCAGTTGTAGGACTTTATTTACTAAGAATTCTATATGTCCTTCAATCATCTATAATACGCATAATCTTACAGCTTTCAGGTATGGTAACATTACACATTTCAGCATGATGATTATAACATTGTGGGCGTTAACATTTTATGTTAATGTTTATTTTTTTCTAATTTCAGAGTCAAATCAAAATTCAAAGTAATTTTGCACCAAAGTGGATTTTTCCATGAAGGCATGCACATTTCATAAAATAAGTTGCTGACATAACGCTTGAGAGTTTTGAGAGTGGCAGGATGACATCACTGCACAACAACTTCAACATAATTGGCAGGGTAGAAGCCGTCCATCCCTCCGTCCAGCATCCCCCTGCACCACCCCTGGTCGTCCTCCTCCTCAACCTTCAGGAACACCTCACCTTGAATCATACAGGTATGGAAACAGACATGATTCTGGATGATACACTTCAGACATTGGACTGGCAAAAGGAACTGTAGTCTCTCAATGCTTTAGACATCATTTCTTTTTTTTTTAAATGGTCACGTCACCTGCTTTAAAGGACAGCTCATCACTTTCCTCTCCCACGTAATTATACAGAGCTCGCACCTTCACTCCTCCAATCATCACACTAGAGGATAGAGGAACGATAGAATGAATAAGGGAGTTTATCTAAAAATGTATTACCATAAAACTTCAATTAATTGCCCAGGCATTTATTTGCTTAAGTCACTTAACACAACAGGCTATTAGAGCCAAGGCGTCTATTTGAGCCAGGTGTCTATTTCCCAGTGGTGTAATGTATGTAAGTAAAAATACTTTAAAGTACTACTTAAGTATTTTTGGGGGGTATCTGTACTTTACTTTACTATTGATATTTTTGAAAACTTTTACTTCACTACATTCCTAAAGAAAATAATGTCATTTTTACTCCATACATTTTCCCTGACACTGTTACACTTTGAATGCCTAGCAGGACAGGAAAATGGTCAAATTCACGCACTTATCCAGAGAACATCCCTGGTCATCCCTACTGCCTCTCATCTGGCGGACTTACTAAACACAAATGCTTTGTTGGTAAATTATGTCTGAGTGTTGGAGTGTGCCCCTGGCTTTCCGTAAATGTAAGAAACAAGAATATTGTGCCATAAGGTTTAATATAAGTAATTTGCATAGTTAATTGTTTAATTCCGGCATTCACTTCCAGCATTTTAATCAATTTCTTTATTTCCTGCACTAATGTGTTATCATGTACACACTGTGTCACATTTATTTTTTCTTAGTATGCCTCCAAAAAAAAAAGAAAAAAAAAAGATCCTTGACAGAATAATTATTCTCCTCTTTGACTGCGCATTTTCTGCAGCTCTTACTTTCGCCACTAGAGGGCGATCGGACGACTTCTGGAGGTGTGTACTCCCAAAGTTGACTGTTTTTGTGCTTGCCGGTTAGCTAGCAGCAGTGTTGGAAAAAGTACCCAATTGTCATACTTGAGTAAAAGTAAATATACCTTAATAGAAAATTACTCAAGTAAAAGTGAAAGTCACCCAGTAAAATACTACTTGAATAAAAGTCTAAAAGTATTTGGTTTTAAATATACTTAAGTATCAAAAGTAAATGTAATGACTAAAACATACTTAAGTATCAAAAGTAGAAGTAAAAGTAAAAGTATAAATCATTTCAAAATCCTTATATTAAGAAAAACAGATGGCACTATTCTTGTTTTTTTATTTACGAAGAGCCAGGGGCACACTCCATCACTCAGACATAATTTACAAACGAAGCATTTGTGTTTAGTGAGTCTGCCAGATCAGGGGCAGTAGGGATGACCAGGTATGTTCTCTTGATAAGTGCGTGAATTGGACCATTTTCTTGTCCTGCTAAGCATTCAAAATGTAACGAGTACTTTTGGGTGTCAAGGAAAATGTATGGAGTAAAGAGTACATTATTTTCTTTAGGAATGTAGTGAAGTAAAATTAAAAGTTGTCAAAAAGATAAATAGTAAATTAAAGTACAGATACCCCAAAAAACGACTTAAGTAGTACTTTAAAGTATTTTTACTTAAGTACTTTACACCACTGGCTAGAAGTTCTGTTAGCAGCCAATGGCTAGCAGTTTCTTACTGAGGATAAAAAGGGATGCTTGCCATCATTTTTTCTAGTCATTACTGAATAATGTTATGTAACAAATCAAACATTAAACCTTGTAAACAATTCATGGTAATTCATGGTAACCTTGTAAACAATTAATTTAGACCCAGAATTTATTTGAAACAGGCATTTATTTACTGAAATGTATTTGAGACTCAGCGTTTATTGAAGTGTTACAGTAATCAGTTGTAATGAACATGGTAATATGTTGGATACAAATACACACACACACACACACACACACACACACACACACACACACACACACACACACACACACACACACACACACACACACACACACACACACACACACACACACACACACACACACACAGCTTACGGTTTATCCTTCTTGCCTTTCTTCTCTCTTTTTTTATTTTTCGGCATCTTTACAGGTGGGACCCATTCCTGATGATACAGATAAGCGTTAGTGCTTCCTTCTCATTAAACTCTCTCCATATTATTTGATTCCACACAACACATGGTAATGTATACAGTAGTAATCAGAGCTCTCTCTATTTATGGCTGGTAGTAATAAGCCTATCAACACTAGCAAAGGTCAAAGGTAAATGCAATGAGTAACAGTTGTATACCTCAATCGTTGGCCAGTCAGTGGGCATGCCTGGGCCGTGGTTGTTCTTCCACCACCTTAGATCGTCCGTCTCACTGACAGACATGAGGGTGTGGTGGAGCTCACTGTACACAATCTTCACACTGACAGACAGAGACAGACAGAATGGGAGAGGATATTAATATACTGTACAGATAAATCATCACAGACATTTCACAAACACACTCACACTGCCACTCCAACACACACACACAAACCATTTGCTCACACACACACAACACGCACACACATTCATACCGACTCTATACACACGCACACACACTCACATACAATCATCATATACGCTGCTGCTACTCTGTTTATCATATACCCTGATGTATAGTCACCTTACCCCTATGCATATCTACCCCTACCACTCCAGTGTCCCTGCACATTGTAAATATGGTTTTGGCACTGACCCTGGAACTGACGCTGTATATAGGTTACTTGTGTTCTTATTATTTATATATCTTTTTTTTTTTTTTTTACTTAACTTTTCTAAATAGTACTACTGATATCAATTACTGCGTTGTTGGGAAAGAGCTTGCAAGAAAGGCATTTTACTGTATTTGTGCATGTGACAATAAAACTTGAAACTTGAAACACACGCACGCACACACGCACGCACCCACGTGAGTGAGGAGAGAGACAGAAGGAGGAGGCTCCTGTACCTTTCATTGTTGGTGACGTCCAGGTGTCTGTGGATGGACAGGAAGGCCTGTTTGAGGAAGCTGATCCTCCTCCTCTCCTCCTCCTGCGATTGGTCAAAAATGGCCTCCATCTCCTCCATGTAGCGAGGAGCGTAGGACGTTACATCCTCCAACACCTTCTCATATTTCTCGCGGACCTGTCATAACATCAGAGCAGTCATATCATACCATCAAAACACATCTTGTTAACAAAGACTGTGTGAGCTTGCCAACAAGGACTGTGTGAGCTTGCCACCAAAGACTGTGTAAACTTGCCCCCAAAGACTGTGTAAGCTTGCCACCAAAGACTGTGTAAGCTTGCCACCAAAGACTGTGTAAGCTTGCCACCAAAGACTGTGTAAGCTTGCCACCAAAGACTGTGTAAGCTTGCCACCAAAGACTGTGGAAAATACATTGGATTTGAAAAAAGTTATCAACTGCTGTTTGTTTTGAGGATGACATTTCATCATGGAAATCATTTTCCAACGCAGAAAACCTTGTATGAAATATGTCGAATTTTTACCTTTAAAACAAGGTCAGATCTTCAACGTTATATCCACTATCAGAAAAAAATAACAGGCTGGGCAGCATCTTCTACAGCTACCCTTTGGTCTGCCATCCAAGGTTTTAACCAAGCCCAGCCCCCTTAGCTATGATATTTGTCACTGACTATTTCCAATGTGCTATCATGAGAATGATTGTTGAGCGATCTCCACTTAAAAACTAAATATATTCACTGTTGCTATCGAAGTCATTCCAAAGGGTAGGTTTAACAGAGCAAATTAAATGTGACCATACTTTATCACTCATGTATCATCAATGCTGCTATTAAGGCTATATAGCATTTGCAAAGTCATCAAAAGCTATTCTTTCAATTCACCCCAGAATGTAACTAAAAATAGACAATACAATAGGTCTAGGGTTTCAAGCGCTGGTTGATTTCAAATGTAAGGATATTTTGTGATATTGAATTGTGTTTGGATGTCAACACAACCACATATCAGTATTTGAAGGATATATGTTTTCTGTTTGTATAGTTACATCTGTGCCACTGACTTAGTCTAGCTTTAATTCCAGTTTGTCTACAAATTCATAATTTAATGAATAATTTATATTTTGTATTCACGTCTCCATCTCAACCAAAAGTTAAAGAATAGGAATAAATCAAATCAAACTTCATTTAAAGTGCATTTCAAGTTTGATTTAATTTTGTACTATTCTTTAACTTAGATTTTTGGTTGCAATGGACACGTCAATCCAACATATCAATTATTAATTTGTAGTCAAAATGGAATAAAGCCAGACTAAGTCAGTGGCACAGATGGAACTATCCAAGCGGAAGATACATCTCCTTCAAATGTTGATATTTGGTTGCGTTGACAACCAAACACTCTTCAATATCACTTTTGAAATACAATAAATAGCCTATTAACTTGTCGACAAGATAACAAATGATATGTTGGATTCACATCTCCAATTCAACCAAAAATACAAGTTAAAGAATGGGATTAAGCTAGTGGCTCAGATGGAACTATCCAAGCAGTAAATACAGCTCCTTTAAATGTTGATATTTGGTTGAGTTGTCAACCAAGCACAACTCAATTTTACTTTGTAATACAGTAAACATTCTACTTTAAAATGAGTAACACATCCATGGGCACATTTCGAGGTTACTGAAACTACACATTTCTTCTTATTTAATCATATAAAGCGTGCATGTTCAAGATAGCCTGCATAGGTCATCGCCGGTCTGTGGAGATCTTCACAATTGCTGTGATAATCTACGCAGACTCTCAAATGGCATTGATCACATGCACCATGTACTTTTAATGTAATCTCAACTGAAATCCAGGTCATTTGGTTCCTCTATTAGATGAAGCACAGTGATAACACATTAAACAGTTGTATAAATAAACTAAATATCTGAAATTGTATTCCCATTTTAACTTTGCAGTGCTTTTAAATGGTAGAAAGCACAGTGATAGACATTTGGGTAACAACTAAACCAAACATCTGACATTGTGTTTCCATTGGAATTTGATTGTGCTATGGTTGAAAGCATACTGATCACACTTTGGAAATTCAACAACCTTTTGGCTGTGTTTTTGAGTGGGTGAATATAGGTTGTAATCTCATTGATCAATATCTCAACCCAATATTATCCAATTATCCAAGTTGAAATGATGTGGTGTGCCCAGTTGGATGTGTAATTTATGTATATGAATGGGCGCTTCTGGTTCAGCCATTGTCCCTATATATTGTACACTACATGACCAAAAGTATGTGGATACCTGCTCGTCGAACATCTCATCCCAAAATAATGGGTATTAATATGGAGTTGGTCCCCCCTTTGCTGCTATAACAGCCTCCACTCTTCTGGGAAGGCTTTCCACTAAATGTTGGGCAATTAGGCCTGGCTCGCAGTCGGCGTTCCAATTCATCCCAAAGGTGTTCGATGAGGTTGAGGTCAGGGCTTTGTGCAGGCAAGTCAAGTTCTTCCACACCGATCTCGACAAACCATTTCTGTATGGATATCGCTTTGTGGACAGGGGCATTGTCATGCTGAAACAGGAAAGGGCCTTCCCCAAACTGTTGCCACAAAGTTGGAAACACAGAATCGTCTAGAATGTCATTGTATGCTGTAGCGTTAAGATTTATTTTCACTGGAACTAAGGGGCCTAGACCGAACTATGAAAAACAGCCCCAGACCATTATTCCTCCTCCACCAAACTTTACAGTTGTCACTATGCATTGGGGCAGGTAGCGTTCTCCTGGCATCCGCCAAACCCAGATTTGTCCGTCGGACTACCAGATGGTGAAGTGTGATTCATCACTCCAGAGAACGCGTTTCCACTGCTCCAGAGTCCAATGGCGGGGAGCTTTACACCACTCCAGTCGACGCTTCGCATTGCACATGGTGATCTATATATACATACTTTTGTATATATAGTGTAAGTTAAAATAATTTACTACTGGATAAACAAAGATGGTGCCTAACAATAACATGGAAGGTGGTTACTGTGGTGATTACAATAACACAGTTTTGGCCCTGCCATAAAAGGAAACTGTATGTGGGAAACATTCCATTAAACAGTCTACCAGATGCGGGCATGGGATTAGGAAAGTGCAACATTTCCATATCTGGCTAGTTGAGCATCCCACACTCTCAGATGAATGAATATAAATTTAGCAGTTGTGAGTTAGTAGCCTTTGAGTTTTTCTTACTTTGTCTTTCTCCTCCCTGGCCTTCTCCCGAGCGTCTTGGATCTTTTTCAGTTTCTCAGGACTCAGCTCTGTGTTCTCCTTGGCCTGCGTCTCTCTGTCTATGGCAATCTGTTCCTTACGGCAAGCCTTATGGTATGCACCGCGGGCTTTCTCCAGCTACGACATATGGGTAAAAATATGCAAAACAAAGTTAAAACATTGTATGTCCTGCTTCCATGAACATGACACTACTCATCAGACATGGGTTCAAATACTACTTTAATCCTTTCAAATACTTTTAGTGTTTGCTTTAGCCTGCCTTGGAGTGCCAAGTAGTGGGTGGGGTTTGCACATTTGGGACTTTTTAATTGGTTTCAATGCAAAAGGATTCTCAATCAAGCACAGCTAAAGTATTTGAAATGATTTAAAATAGTATTTGAACCCAGTTCTGCTACTCATAGCCATTGGTTAAAATAACCCCTCCCTTAGGAGTAATTCAATCACTATAATAGTGTGTGCCGCATACAGTAGGCTACATAAAATATATTTTGAGTGTTCAGGAATTTATCACCTAGATTCTAATCTTACCAGCAATGGGTAAGCCTTGCATGCTACTAATGTTTGTCTATAGCCTTGGAGATTAGATTACAGAAAAACTAAACTACTGTAGAGAAACATTTAGGCATAAAGTTGACTTCCTCGTAATCAAGCAATAGGGTTGTGAAGTTTAATATCTATAGTACAATCCCCCCAGCACACACAAATGCGAGCCCATTTGGACGGTTCATGAAGATTTAATGTACACCTAACATATAGGTTTTGTAACCTTTCCCAGCCTCTTGGCCCAGGGTTTCTGAGCGCGTGCAAACTCTGTCTCATTTTTGTAGGTCTCACGGAATCCACAGAATATCTTCTTAGGGAAGGTCTCCTTCTGCCAGCTCTTTACTCTGTCCCCCTCCTCTGTAACGAGGGACTGGGAGATAGAGGAATGGAGGATGGATAGACGCTCAGCGGAGGAGAAGAAACACTGCCACGCCCTCATGAGGGAGCCATAGAGCGGTCCTAGGGTGATAGAGAAAGACAAAAAGAGGGAGATAAGACTTTTAACTGATTAGGGAATAATAACTAATTAGATTGATGCAACCTGGACTCATGGGTAAACTTAACATAGTAAACGAAAATCCAGGGAAACCCAATTTAGTATGATATGTTACGTTTGGTATGGTATGCATTCATTTGTGGATGTCCATCATCCATTTCATCTGATATGTTACGAATTACAATTCATATGATATGTTACAAATTGCAATTCGTACAATATGTAATGAATTTGCTATACGTATGATATGTTATGGATTTCAATTTGTTGTGACTAACATTAGTTAGGTTGCTAGGTCGCTAACGGTAATGTTAGCTAGGTGGCTAACGTTAGGTAGGCTAGAGGTTAGGGTTAGGAGTTAGGTTAAAGGGTTAAGGTTAGGGTTAGGGTTAGCTAACATACTAAGTAGATGCAAAGTAAAAATTAGTTAAAATGCAAAAGTTTTCCATGATGAGATTCGAACACAACCTTTGGGTTGCTAGATGTTCACGTTAGGAGTTACCGTAGGTTAAGGTTAGCATTAGGGGAAGGGTTAGCTAACATGCTAAGTAGTTGCAAAGTAGCCAAAAAGTAGTAAGTAGTTGCAAAGTTGCTAATTAGCTAAAATGCAAAAGTTGTCCGTGATGAAATTCAAACACTCAACCTTTGGGTTGCTAGACGTTTGTGTTATTGCCTTATGTACATTTCTGTCTTATGTATCCATACCAAACATACCATACTGTATCATACTAATTTGAGTGTCCCAGATTTTCGTTTACTATGTTACATCTAGTCTATGAGAACAGCCTGATTGATAATACAAAGACCAGGTAGGAAGAATGGTCATAGAGTATTTTTTCATTGTTTTGATAGTTAATAATGAGTGCCATAGTATCGAAGTCCAGTACTGAAGTCCCCGGTTCTCCTTCACTTACGGGCGTCTGCTATGGCCTTCCACTTGCTGCTCCACTCACTGAGCTGCTGGGCGTAATGCTTCTCTACTTTGGCCCTCTCATTGAAACAGGCCATGATATCTTTACATGCATGGAAGGACTGGTCAGTGCGTCGGACAGTTCGCTCATAGTTCCCTGGCTGGGGAGGAAGAGGGGGAGAGAGGGATGGGGAAGGGAAGAGTTGCTCAGGATCAGGAGGAACTGCAGAAAGAGGTATTGCTATAGAATCAACTCTCCTATTATGAGAACACATAGAAAATCAGTTAATGGTAGTCACAGACTGTTGTAAAATTGTAATGTTTATATTCGTATCTCTAACTTCCTCCTCACCATCCAGAAGCTCTGCATCCTGGAGTCCTCATGGGGTTCTCTAGGGAGCGTCGACATTTTGGGGGATGTCTTTGAAGAACAGAGGAAAAGATCATAAACAACCTTCAGTACTTTCACAGAGATTTCATCGTTACATGAAGTACTGTATATTGTAGTGATCCTCGCTACAGGTGCCACGTTACAATTCCCACCATGTGTTTTAACCCTATTGGCGCGATGCGTAGGGTGTTTGCCTTTCATACCAGCGATCCGAGTTCGCTTCCCTGCCCCATAGTTCTCTACATTTTTGTCAGAAGTGGGATGGGGGCCGTTGGGACATCGGAACGCACGGCCCAGGACATGTGAGGGGGTTGAGCGGTCGAAGCACGAGAAAGTGGCAGTGCAGCTATATGAGCCACATTACATGGAATGGTATCAAACAAATCAAACATATAAAAACCACGTTTGACTCCGTTCCATGAATTCTATTCCAGCCATTACAATGAGCCCATCCTTCTATAGCGCCTCTCATCAGCCTCCTCTGATCTGAACCCATCGTGAGTAAGGGGAGTGTCATTCCAAGACTGGAATTTATAGACTGGAATCTAACAGCAGGAATAGAACACCCGCTTCGACATTCTTCCTGCTGCTGTCCCAAAATAAACAGGGAGGGAAAGGTCATCTTTCCCTGGCTCTGACTAACGGCCTCCCTCACAATTAGCCGAGCCATCTTCTCCTCTCACACGTCCCTTTCACGCTCATGGAAAACATGACAACAAAGAGCGAGGGGAGAGAGTTTGGGTTTAGCAAACAAATAATATGCCTACTGTAGTTCTAAGTCAAAGCTTTGTTTGAAATAATTAACACAGCTTTGTTATAACCCAACTAAGGAAAATATATGAGGTTATGTCAGTATAAGAGGTACTCTGAACAGTATAAGATAAAAACAGATCCATGCACCAACACACAAGCACTCAGACACGTACAGGCCTATTTGTCTCCCTAACACATTGGCACTTTGTTGGCTGAGTGATAATTTCCTCTGTGTGAAACCGCACCTCATCACAAGACTAACGCCGAAGGAAGAAAATAACCGAGGTTTTGTTTCAGAACAGTTCTCCCCCTTGCTGCTGTGCTTATCCACCCTCTCCCTCCCTCAGCTGGTCTTCTATGTAATGAAATAAAAGTACAGGCGGCCTACTGTTGATACATGTCACAGGATTGTTGTTCCGTTTTAAATATAGTCCCACTATAGCAACTTTGTTTTATTACATGTCTGTCTCTACCAATCTCTTCCTCAGCATGCAGAGGTAAAGTAGGTAGGGGACTGGGGTTTTTGAGTATCAATTGGCTAGTTTGTCTTGGCTCAGTTTCACGACACTGAACAGTATTATAGACTATTATTCAAATAAAAATACATTCAAGTCATATTCAAATCATTACAATGATCAAGCCCTCATTCAAACATGACAAAATAAAAACCATGCCTGGGAGAAACCATCACTTACATGTCTCTCTCTGAATCACCAGTGACTACTCAAGTGGCCAATTGTTAGTTCTAGGGCCGTTCAAACTTTCTCTCCCTTTCTCTTCGTCTCTCTTTTCTCTCCGAATGCCTCTCCCACAACACATGTTCCTCACTCCTCACTCACTGACCCAATTTTCCCTGGCACTTAAAGTTACACACACCAGTGTGATCTGAAAGACTGAGTCACCAAGGCAGATCCAGCAAAAGTAAGACAAAGACTGTGAATTTGCATAAAAATCACACAATGATTGATGAGCAAGAGGAAAATAAAGATCATTCTTACCATTCACTCCTCCGCTGTTAGCAGGGCTGTTCTATCCTAATACTCATTTCACTGTTGGTCAAATTGATCTTGCTGTTTTCTGCTGTTGTTATCCAAGTCTCCCCATCCCTTCTTTTTTTCTCCTCGTAGTTTCCTTGATACTCAGTGTCAGATGATTCGTTTCGCCTACCTCTTCTTGCTCTCTCACTATCCCCCTCTCTCTCTACAACTCTTACAGTATAGTCTATTACAAAAACAGCTGGAAGAAACTTCATCCTCCTTCCTTCCCTCCCTCCCTCCCTCCCTCTCTCAATTTGGTGCTAATGAATTGTAGAAGTTCATTTCGACCCTCTACTGGTCACAGCGTTGTGTCAACGTGGCACCGCATCATGGGAGCTTATTAGTGTGTTTGTGACGGGTGGCCCCGTGAACTGTCACATTCACCCTCTGCACTTTTGCAACACTCCATTTTCTGATGGGACTTGGGATTTGTCTGTCATAAGAGACTATGCCGCAGACTCCCAGACCACATAGTGCACATGCTGCCACACTACTTGCGTGCAAAGTGAGAGTTGAAGTTTCCCTGATGCAGTGGGTACTGGAAACCCACTGCATAAGAACCCGTCCAAGTGTGTCAGGGAATGACTTCTCATTTACCCCTATCAGGTTTCTCTCTTTTTCTCCCTGACTACCCACTTCTTAAAGACCCACCCTACCTCCTACAGTGTATGATCACAACAGATGAATCCAAGTACTTTTCCTCATTCTGCCAGATCTGAAGTAATCCTGAACATGAGAACAATATGGCATAAGGCCCCTGGTGGGCTGGGAGAAGGAGAAGCTGCTAAATGAGTCAATCATAACAGCACAGTCTAGATTGGATCTTTATGTGAACCTAGAAACCTTGGACTCAGAGAGGGAAAAAACATCAAGACAGTTCAATAGTTTATTCAGCATTTATTTCAACACCTTAGTTATAACTCTATCATATCAGTATATTTCTGTACTTCATTTTGAACATAACGTCATAAATACCTCTTATCGCTGCATACATTTGCTCATACTGTATATATTCATCATATGTTTATATTACTAGTCCTAAAATACTCTTTAAATCATAGAACGTAATGCTTCCTACACTACCGCTCAATCATTTCCATTGGAAGGTTGTTGAAAGGCAACAACACTAAAGAAGTAAAGATTGTGTGTTGATGTGTAGGAGTTTCACTGGGATGAGGAAGTAAGAAATTATAGGACAAGTTGAGCAGTATAGAAAGCATTTACCAGAAATAATAAATTAAGAGAAAACAAAACAAGTAGCTTCAAATAATTTCTCACACTATTTGGAAGACAGAGATTCTGTAGTGTTATTTTTATTTTATTTTTTTACATATACCTAATGATTAATATAATAATTATTTTTAAATTATACTATAATTTATGTTATTATTGTCCTCATCATCATACTCATCATCATCATTATATTATATAGGCCTATAAATGATGTGTCAAGATTTAGAGTGTATTCCTCAACTTACAGTGCATTTCACTGAAGGCAATAGCAAAAAGGAATCTAAAAGAGCGTGTGTGTGTATCTCTGTGTGTGTTTGAATGTGTTTTTCTGAAATATGTGGATCTGAAAAAGGTTTCTCTTGAGAGAGATATTGAAGAGGAGTTTATGAAATAGGGCAAAGTTAGGATTGTCAACTGGTGCAAAATATACATCTCTACATTTTCTAACCATTAGAAAACGGGCGTTGAGTTGTGGAGAAGGCATAAGAGGGTGGGACAGAGGGTGGGGAAAGGATCATGGGTAACAAGGCAGGCTGACAAACAGATCGACACAAACAGACACACACTCACAGAGGGAAAAGGCCTAGGGAACCAGACATACCGTATAGACTGACAGACGTGCAGTAAAAGCCCTTTTTGATCGCTGCACCTGTGTGTGTGAGAGTCAGCATGGGATAAAAGACGATCACATCCCTGGTATGCTCGTAAACATCATGAATGAATGACAAATAGCTTTGTAGTGTAAAATGACATGAGTTCATAGCAAACCCTGAGTCATGGCTGTGGACTCCTATACAGTCATGTCTCAGGGAAAAACAAACCCATATTTTACTCTCCTCTGCTCCTCTCTGGCATACCCCAGACAGCCTTTCTAAAGATAATAACTATCATAATAAAAATGACATATTACGACTATGTTTTGAATGTTTTTTAGAGTATTCGTCGTAACACACAAATTTGAACGATTAAATATCAATAATACCCTGACACGTTTGAAATGAATGATTGCAATCAGCACTTGGTACAAAACAAATTAATGATTTGGATCTGTGAATCCATTTTTACATGTAAGCTATATTGTTACTCAGAGTTAGTAAAATACGTAGAAAGCTTGTTGGGAAATCACTAGGGAATTAGGGCATAAACTGACCTCAGTATAAAAAGTCCACTATTTTACTATTTTTTTTACTGTTTACTTTAACTTAACATGTCATGTACTTTTCCATTTTAGGACCATATTCGGACTTTTACACATTCCAACAATAGCTTCCAATCCCATGCTCTAATATGTGTAAAGTCAGAGTTTGCGCATTAATTTCATGGCCCGTATTGTTTATTAGAGGTACCCAACCACCACCTTTAGTATATCCATGGGCTTACCCTCTCTGTATGGGTAGCAGCATTACAATCTCAAGATTCTTGTTAGCATTCTCCCGGTACTGTAACCCTCAGGCAGCAGATGGAGTGTGAGAATCAGCAGTCAAATGTGTGTGTGTGTGTCTGTGTGTCCATGTGTCCATGTGTTAAGCCTATTTATCAGTAGTTGTACAGTGGGGGGTAAATGGACAATTGTCCTCCACTCATAACACATCTCTCTTGGTGTGATTAAGCCTTTTCCATCATTTGTCAAGCTCACAGGCTGTCCAATGGTCTTCTATAGAATTCATCTCGGTCCGTGTGTTTCTCTGTCTTTCTCTGAGCCCTGAGTCACCTCATCTTTCACTCTCTGTCTGTGGCTCAGGGGAGAGGCTAGGGTCATGCATGGGAGAGAAGAGCCTGAGGAAAGAGGGAGTGGGTAAATCAAGAAATAAGAATAAATAGAAAATGAATAAGGAGTGAAGGTAGTAAATTAAATGATAGAGAGAAATATACATAGAGAGAGAGCGAGAGAGAGAAGAGAGAGAGAGGGAGAGGGAGAGAGAGGGAGGGAGAGAGAGAGGGAGAGAGATAGAGGAGAGAGAGGAGAGAGAGAGCGAGGGAGAGAGAGGGAGAGAGAGAGCGAGGGAGACAGAGGGAGAGGAGGGAGGGAGAGGAGGAGGGAGAGAGGAGAGAGGAGAGGAGAGAGGAGGAGCAGAGAGGAGAGAGAAGGGGAGCATAGAGAAGAGAGAGAGAGAGAGAGAGAGAGAGATAGAGAGATATAGAGAGAGAGAGAGAGAGAGACCGGGGGAGAGAGAGACAGGAGGGGGAGAGAGAGGGGAGAGAGAGAGAGAGAGAGAGAGGGAGAGAGAGAGGGAGAGATGGAATAACGTATCAAATTAACTCTAAGGATAAATGCTTAGCGACTAAAAAGGGAAGGGGATGGACTCATCTGGCTCGCAGGGAAGGAAAGAGGCACTTGTCTTTCCTTCTCCATCCGGTCCTTCTTTTTCTCTCTCTTTATTTCCACTTGCCCCCTGGCTGACATGTAGCCTCTGTCATTGACTCTGCCGTTCTTCCCTCACCTGTCAGTCAGTCTCTTCAGCGCTCTCTCGATGTTCATGCGGTGGCCGACGCGCGTCACCCCCAGGTCCAGGAAGTCGTCCTTGGTGAGGGAGGGCAAGTGGGAGCCGTCAATCTCGTTATCCAGGAAGCGCTCCCGGTGCTCCCCCAGGTTCAGGTAGGCCAGCCAGTCGGCCACGTCCCACTTGGTCCAGTAGGACAGGGGCTTAATGGCGAAGGGCTTGGCAGGGGGAGGAGGGGTGAGGTGGGGGTAGCTGAGGCAGGATGGAGAGGGGGGCAGGTGCATGGAGGGTGAGGAGGCGCCGGAGAGGAACTGGGTGGGGGAGAGGGAGCGGGAGACCAGGAGGACGCTGGGAGGTTGTGGGGATGTGGGAAAGAGAGGAGAGGAGGAGGGGTTGTAGGGGTCTCCTAGGGTGTGACCTGGGGATGAGGGAGTTAGGGGAATGGGGAAATCAAAGGGGGTGTTGTAGACAGGGGTGCTGGGGAGTATGGGGAGGGAGGAGGGTCTGGGAGGTGCGGGGCTTGGGCGGTCTGTGGAGTAGATGAGGGGGCTGGGAGCGCGCCGGCGGGACATAGACGATCTCAGCTCTGGACCAGGGGTAGACTGGAAGTCAAAAATCTTGGCTCCACGGTACTTAGTGCGATGTTTGGGGGACGTGGGATAGGGTGAGTAGGTGGGGGAGAGAGGCGGGTGGGATTGAGAGGGGGAGTAAGTGGGGGAGAGAGGAGGGTGGGAGGAGTGAGAGGGGGAGGTGGGCATCTGGGGAGAGGGGGAGTGGATCCAGTTGGGCTGCAGTGGGGGCTGGTGGGAGGGCGAGCCGGAGGGGGTGGCAATGAGATTGGGGGTGAAGATTGACGGGCGATGCTGCGGGGAGGAGGTGGGTAAGGGGGAAGTGGAGTGACCTGTGGGGGGGCTCTGAAACGAGGCAGCGAAATCCCCTGAATATCTGAAAGAGAAGAAAAAAGGGTTATTGTACTCAGTAGGCAGTGCCGTGGAGTCACTAAGTGAAACTGTTAGAATTGACTAACAACAACAGCCTCACCTTTGCATTGTGGGCGACCTCGGATTAATGGGACTCGGACCTCGCATCTCAGACTGACTCCAGTCCTCCGTGCTCTTATTGCTCATCTGTTGCAGCTTGGAGCTCAGCTCGTTGATGATGCTGGCCTTTACCCCCGAGAGGGGGGAGTGCAGCCTGCGCCCCTCCACAGACATCCCACCCCCGCCTCGCTCCAGGCCCTGCCCCGGTTCGACCCCCTCGCTCCAGGACAAGGGTCTTGGCTCCAGGGTGTTGGGCCGCTCCAGACAGGCAGCCAGGGTGGAACCGAAGCTATCCTCCATCTTGGATCGACTCTGTCTGTGTTGTTTCCTCTCGTCCGCTGCTCCTCCCTCTCCTCTCCTGGCCTCCTCCTCTGGGTTGGCCTGTCTCTGGGGGTGTGGTGGGGTGCTCTGGTAGGGCGGATTGGTGCTTGCCTGTCGACGCAACGCTTCCCTTGTGTCCTTGATACCACCCTCTTTGTACTGCATCGTCTTTGGATACACCGGGGGGTTGGCAGTGTATTTGGTGTGGTGCGCTTCAAACGTTTGTCCACCTGAGTAAGTCATGTAAGGATCCGGGTGCTCGCCACCCTCTCTCTCCCCTTCCACTCCTCCTCCTCCTCCTCCTCTCTCTCCCCTCAGTCTGCTCACTCCCAGTATTTCCAGATGGTGGTCGCTGCTGTCCAGCTCCTCAATCCCAGAGTCCACCACCGTCTCCGTCTGCCAGTCTCCAGTCTTCATCATGGAGGGGTGGTGGTCGCCTGCCTTGCCCACAGCACTGACGGCGATTCTGGGGGCGGTCACAGCTACATTGTAGTCTGAAGACGCCGCAGAGGCTGTGGTAGTGGTGGCGGCGGCGGTCGCGGTCATCGTGGTGGCGTAGGTCATAGTCGTAGTGAGGGTAGCTGCGCCTCGGTCCTGTGCTAAGATCATTGGGGAAGCAGAGGCCCCCATATTAGCAGGGTTAACCGGTATGTTGGGGCCACTGAAGAAGGGGTCTGCATGGGACATGGGCTGGGGTCTGTGGAGTGAGGGGGCGGGTAAAATGGTGGCGACTGTGGTGGCGGAGGAAGGGGGGAATATCTGGGGCAAGGGGAGGGAGGGAGACAGAGCTGACTGGGTGAGGTTGGCCACCTCACTGTCGTAGGACGTGAGGCTGGAGGCAGCAGAGTCCCCAGTCTGGGGGGAGGGGAGAGGGGCGTTGGAGGCGAAGCCTCCTTGTGGAGGTACTTTAGGGGAGGGGAGGGGGGGCGGCGGGGGTGGCATAGCGGGAGGGGCGTGTTGAGCTGAGTGTTGATGCTGTTGAGAGTATCCCCTCTGCAGTTCTCTTTGGCCTTGGCCATTGGCGAACTGCAAGGGAGGGGGTAGGGGGTCAACAAAGACAAACTCATCGTCTATGTCTATCGAGGGGGCGGGCGGTGGAAGAACCATGAGCCCCAGTCCTCCTCCTCCTCCTCCCTCTCCCCCACCTTCATGTGGGTGGGCTTGAGCTGCGGGTAGGCGGTACTGGGAGATGTAGCTAGAGTTTGTACTGCTCTCCATCTGCAGGAACGAGGGTCTGCGGGGTGCAGGCTGAGGCGGCGGGCCGGGCGGCTGCATGGGCGGACCAGGTGGCTCCCTGTCTCTAAGACTCTGTTGATAATACTGGGTCTGGTACTGGTTGGTTCTGTCCTCTGAAAAGCGAACTCTGAGGCCCTCTCTGGCTCCGGCCACCTGGTCCCTCTCCACTCTCTCTCCTCCCCCTTCACCTCCCAAGCGTAATATCCTGGGTGACTGCGGGCGGCTCAGGGAGGTGGGGGAGGTGGTGGCGGGGAACAGGGATGGCGTGGGGGATGGGAGAGAGGTAGGAAACACCCCCACGCTGGACATTTGCCGGCCAAAGTGCCGCTCCTCCCGCCGGGTCCTCCGGTCGTCCTTGAGGGCCCTCTCCCGTGCAGCCAGCGCCAGGCCCAGGGGGGACGAGGGGTCCAGGACCTTCCCAGTCAGAGGGTGGATGAAGGTGGTGGCTGGAGAGCCTTGGCCATAGTTGGAGGGAGCGGACTTGGGCTGGCCGTCCTGGCCCATCACAGGGGAGTGGTACTCAGGCAGCCCGAAGGCAGGGGGCATGCTGCTGGCGTAGTGGACGTAATTGTCCCCAGAGAACATGCCCTCGTCAATGGACTTGGAGGGGCGGAGGCGGGGGGTGGGGACATCCATCCCCATCCCCTGTAGGGGCTGGGTCCATACCCCTTCACCTCCCCCTGCCTCCCCTTGGATGTCCTCTTCGGAGGAGAGGAAGAAGGAAGCACTCTTCCTCCGCATGTCCCGGAAACGTTCCCGGTCCCGGCGTGCTGCCCCGACGAAGGCCCCCCTGAACTGGTTGGTGAAGTCCAGATTCTCCAGGTTAGGGGGCAGCTGGGGGGCGACAGTCGAAGGGGGCATGGCAGAAGAGACAGGGGGCTGGGGTGATGAGGGGGCCACGGGGGAAGGCAGGCCGGGGCTGATGGGGGTGTCGGGGGTGGTGGTGGGGGAGGTAGGATCGTCTATGTCGGGAGGCGGCTGCTCGGCATCCACGCTGCTACCCTGGCTGCTGCGGCCACTACCACTGCTGGTGGAGGGGGCCTTGACTATGATGGTGGGGATGGGGATGGAGCTCTTCTCTTTGGCCCCTGAGCGCTTACCCCCCTGGCCCTGCCCCCCTCGGTGTTGCCTGCTGAGCCCGCCTTCCACTGTGGGCTGCTTCACTAGAGGGCCCCTCCCGCCCTTCCTGCCTGCCCCGCCCCTGACTGCCCCGCCCCTCTCCCGGGTCGCCACTTGCTGCTGCTGTTGGTGCTGCTGGGTCTGCTGCTGCTGCTGCTGCTGCAGCTGCTGCTGCTGCTGGGGTTGCTGTTGGGTTTTGGGAGCTGCGCTCGTGGGTGGAGTACCACTACTGTAGCCCCTCCTCAACGCCCCCATTTTCCCCCCTCCTCTCTTCGTCCCCTCCGGGGGCTCCCCTGTGTATTGTCCTCCTCCTCTCCGGAGGGTCGGGGCCATGCCGTGCTGTTGATTGGCCCCGCCAGGCCCTCCCCTGTCCCAGCCTGCCTGCTGCTGGGCCTGGGCCTGGGCCTGGGAGGACGGGGGCTGGGGGGCAGACTGCTCCCCCCTCCAAACAGTATGGGGGTCAGCAGATAAGGGGGGTTCTGGGGCGGATGTGCTGGGGGGAGGGGGGATATCCTCTGACAGACTTCGGGTCAGTTTCATGGCCGGGTTGTGTAGGTACTGCCTCTCCTCCTCCATCACACCTGGAACAGGGACACACAGAGTTAAACAGACTATCTGGTTGGAAAACAGTTAACAAAGTTCGTGTGCAACAGTCAGAATGTAGCTTTTTGACAGTAATTGTATCTGTAGGACTTACCAATAGATTTTTGTCGCAGCATTACTCCATGCGGCTGGCCGGGGGGATATTGACCCTGGTTGTAGCCAAACCCAGACGGCACCACACCAACCAACTGGTCATGACTTGGCTTTATGTGTTGCAAGACACACAATGGAGAAAGACACACAGGGAGAGATGCAGAGAACGGGAGGAAGTGATGCCGCATTAAAAGTGCATTGGCAGTAAAAGTGATATAGTGCAATATGGAGGAAGCAATAAGTTAATATCCTAGGCTGTGAGGTTTATTTCACATCCAGCGTTGCAGACACAAGCACCGAATTGAGGGTAAGATCCTAGGGCCAGTAGGACCTGCAGGTACAGTCATGGTAGGGTAACGCTGAGAATGATGCAGTACCTCATTGGGGGCGATGCTCTTGGTTCGGTCTCTCTTCCCTCCGTGACCCCGCTGTCCCTGTCCATCTGATGTGATTGTGTGCTGAGCTGCTGCCAGGATCTCATCCAGTTTATCTGAGCGACGGAGGGAGAGAGAGCGACAGAGCGAGGAGAGAGAGAGAGAGAAATGAAAGATAGAAGAGCGATAGAAGAGAGAGAAGAGAGATCAAAAGCATAAGACAATTGAAAGCGGAGGCACATTGTCACCCAGTTCAAAGATGGCCTTTTGAAACACAAAGGGGGAAAGGGGTCAGATCTTACTCAGTGCCATTTGATAGACTGTCCTCTTCTTATCAGGCACCTGGGAGGACTCGTACTCTGAAAAGCAGAGGTAGTATATTCTTAGGACCTGAGCAGACTGATTTTGAATGGAGGTTTAAGGGCTGATTAAGGTAATGATAAAATATATTCACCTGCTTTCTTTTTCCATGGAGAGGCAGCTGCAGCATAATTAGAGAAAAGAAGGTTATCATATTAGGCTATAACAGTATACTGAGACTGCTATTATAGCCATATCTGTAATATTACAAAATAACACAAATGAATACAGTACATATTGTACATTAACACTGATGACGACTATGATGATGTGGTGGTGATAATAATGATGCGGAGGAAGACGACGGCCATGACAATGATGTCACACAACTCAACCTTTTCCCACCTTTCTCCACTGTTAGTCGTCCATTTGATTTAGCCGAAAAAGGAAAATTTGTGTAGAGGTTATATGCAGAATGTAGAGTTTCCACAATGCGAATGACTTCACTGTATCTACATCTTTCCCAGATAGAGCAAATGTTCATACATTTACTTGAAAGAGGACATTTATCCCCATAGTCCTCCTCATTAAGCCATTGGTAATTAAAACATTCAATCTTACCTATACCAGAAAAATCCAAGGCTCCCTGCATCAACTCACTTAATATTTAATGGACTTTTTCAATTAACATCTTTTCTATGGGTCAGAATTCTAATGTGAACAATACTTTGCTCCCTGCTTGTTATGCTTCCCAACCCCTTCTTCTTCCATTGTCTTACCCATGTCTTCCAGCTCTGATGTCATTGATTTAGAGCGCAGGGCAATGGCAGGAGGAGTCAGCCTCTTAGCCTGTTGGGGGACTGCCAAGGGACAAGGACCAAACAAACTTATTGCTTACTACTATATTATAAACATACACAAGGTAGCTGTTACGGTATTGCGAACAAGCATTATTATTACTATGTTATAAACATGAATTGTATACATTACACAGAACAAACTAAAAAGTATACCTTTCTTCCTGGGGTTGGTCTCCTCCATCTCCGGGTTGCGGGCCACCATGACAACCTTGACCATTAGAGCGTTGCCACCTTGTCTGATCATGTTGACCACCTGCCTGTGGCCTACCTTCACTACGTTCTGACCATTAACCTACACACACACACACACACACACACACACACACACACACACACACACACACACACACACACACACACACACATACACACACACACACACACACACACAGATAACACTGGCTGTCAAGAACACTAAACTGTCACACTGCACTCAACACAATACAAGTTCAAACTCTAAAACAAATCAACAAATGTACAATTTGATAGTGATTACAAAAGTTGGTCCCATATTGATTACCAGGCCTGCATAAACTGTCAGGGTGACAAGCCTTTCCACGGATCCATACCTCAATAAGGAAGTCCCCCATCCTTAAGCCAGCCCTCCAGGCCACACCCCCCTCATCCACAGACTCCAGGTACTGCAGCGCAGGGAATGCTGGGGTCGGAGTGAACTCCTCTATTGGAGTCTGGGCTGCAGAGAACAAGTCAAGAACAAGAGGATGAGGGAGATTTGAGATTAGTAATAAAATAGTGTCAAAGTAAGGGAGATGGGAGGCCGAGAGTTAGGATGGGAGAAATGGGTGAGAGAGGAAATACAAGGAGTGAAATACATAGAAGAGTAGAGGACTGTGGAAGCCGGAGATGGTAGACATCCAGAGGCTCGTACTCACCTTTGGCTCCCCGAAGCACAAAGCCAAAGCCCTCATTGTCTTTCTTCTGCAGGAGCACTGTCTTCTCCTTAATGATGTAGTCACTTAGAGAGAAAAAGGGGGGGTGGGGTGGAGTGAGAGCGAGAGGGAGAGGGAGAAAGAGAGCGCAAGCTACATGACTTCTTCAGCAGCTGAAAGTCTAATTGTCATGCAAATAAAGCATTTTTGAATCTGGGAGACAGCTATACTGCATCACATTATGAAATCACACTGCACCAAAAGATGGGGGGGGGGGGGGGGGGGGGGGGGTGGGTTGAGGCATGTCATACAAAGACCACCAACATACAAAGACACCCGACAACCAGGGTAGAGTTGATGTCATGATGGGCGAGGATGAGTGTACTGGAGCGACCTCTCCATAATCCAGCATAATGCTGCCTAGCACCAGGAAGCACATGGGAGTGTATATGAAAAATGCTGTATAGACTCTTCACTGTTAATGGGAACTTATACATGCACCTGTAATGCTGCATTAGCTTTCCTCAAGCATTCAATGCACTAGCTATCTTGGCTACCTCTCATTGGCTCATTGTTTTTTTCATTGATGATTGACATGGCCATCTTGTTATGAGATGGTAGGAGTAGTGTTATGGCGTGGCAGCCAGAGTTGGCCATGCTGTTTCATTGCTCCATTACCAGGTCTGGGACTTCTGTTGCTCGTCAGATTTACGGATGCATTACAGCAGTTTTGCCACATGTAGAGAGCTCAGTGTATACTGTAGTCTCACACTCCATAGTAGCTATATAATGTACTGTACTACAACAACAGTGTCTCCAGTTAATTTGAGGTCTCGATCCTAGACAGCCGGCCGGGTCTCAATTCTAAGAGCTCAGTACATACTGTAGACTGACTCCACAGCCATATACAACAACAGGGTCTTCATCTCTGTTCATTTAAGGTCTCAATTCTACACAGCCGGCCTCAATTAATGCTGTTTTGCAGCTCCATTAGGATGTCTGGCTCTTTGGTGGCTGTATGACTTGTGGTTGAATCCATTGGGTTGAAATCCCAGCAGCTTATTCCGGTTCTGCGTTTTCTGCATTAGCTGCTCGAATAAACTCAAACTGACGCGGCCTCCAATCGACCGTTGAATGTGCAAATCCACCAAGGTACAACATGGCTGAGGACGAGAGTCTTTGCTTTGTTGGGAGTTGCTGAACTTGGTGTGAGCAGGCAGTGCATGGGAGCCATTACAAAGCCGAAGATTCAACCGCTAACTTCTCGTACCGACGGTCTGCAGTTTGCACTCTCCCTTTCATCCATCCCTTATGCGCCGTCATACTGTCAATGTTAGTGTTTCGCCAACGCAAAAAGCCGCCTTCCATCCATCTGCTGTTCACACCTCATTCCTTTTCTCTCACCCTGACTCCTTCGCGCGTTCCCTCTCAAAGGATCAAATCTACATGTAGCAGTGTGTTCAAATGGCTGGTTGCAATCCACTACTGTCTGAGAACTGTATCATTCTATCCTCAAGGCAATAGAGGTGTAGCTATGATGCTGTGGATCTTTCAAATAGTCTACCATTTAACCCTCTCGCTCCTGTTCTCTCAGTCCATGCTGTTAAGGAAAGGACCTTATATGTGCATGATGGTTTTAAGTAACATGAATTCCCCATTGGCCAGTGTGACACTCAGTGATCACAGTATGACACTCTCATATTACAGTAGCCTACAGTATTACAGTAGCCTACAGTATTACAGTAGCCTACAGTATTAGAGTAGCCTACAGTGTAATCATGTACCCTCCCTCCTGACTCATCCTCTGTAGCCTCCACAATTATACAGACGAAGCAGCATGTTAGTCATACACACTCAACTTATACATTTACCACAGGAGGTTGGTGGCACCTTAATTGGGGAGGACGGGCTCATGGTAATGGCTGGAGCGAAATGAGTGGAATGGTATCAAATACATCAAACACATGGTTTCCAGGTGTTTGATGTCATTCCATTCGCTCCGTTCCAGCCATTATTATGAGCCGTCCTCCCCTCAGCAGCCTCCACTGACATTTACATACATATAATGAAACCATGAGACACAATGACACTTACATGCAGCCACAACCCAGGGACACAGACACAGATTAACTAGTCCCAAAATGACCCTCAACCACACTGTGACTGCGCTGGCACCCACTTACACACTCAAATGAAGGAAATCACAAACAAACCACTGTGTCCACTCTCCCTTTCTATACAAGGCTTTCATCCAACACAGGTGCACATTTATGAAACACAAAATGAATGGCACACAAAATTCATGAGATATGGCAATATATACTGTAGCTATAAAAATCCACATACATAATAGGAATCGATGATACCACTGAATGACAGAAATAAATCATTTGAAATGGTGGCACAAAATGAACGAAACACACACCGGCTGACATTACTAGAAATGCATTTACAAAATGCTCTCAGATTACATTCAGAAATACATGAGAGGGGAGACAAAAATAAACATGCTGCAGTCAGAGCCTACATTTAATAGCCACTTCCATCACACACAAACCGTTCACACACACACACACACACACACAGGAAAAAGACGATTTAACGCACGCACATATATACACAGACACACATGCACAAACACAATACATAGCTCATTAATCCGCCTTTCAAATCCACGGCCTCTCTGTTGCATCTACCTCTCCCCTCTCTCCATTGTCCTCTCCTCACATCCATAGCCAGGCAATGAATGAGGAAACAGCCGCTACCTGTAAATGAACCACACGCTTCTGTTTCTGGGGCCCAGTGACGGCCACGAAGAAGAGAGGGAGAGAGAGAGAGACAGATCTCTCTCTCCGCATCCCCCCATTGCCATTTCCCCCCCCCCTCTCATCTCCTCCAACCCCTCCTCTCCCTCCGCCTCTCGGTCTTCCAGCGAGAGCACAGCCAGAGAGAGCCGCGAGAGTGGAGGAGAGGAGGAGAGAGAGATGGGAAGAGAGAGAGGAGAGAGAGAGCGAGCGTTGGCCTAGCATGTCTACACCCTGCCTGCTTGAGACAGCGTGAAAGAGGGGGAGAGAGAGAGAGGGTGGGAAAGAGGGAGGGAGGTTGAAAGGGAGAGTGCAAGAGAGTGGAGGGAGCGTTTGCTGGATGTGAGAGTGGTGGTTTAGCATAAAAGAGAGAAAATAGGTGATTTTGCGGGTGGGGGAAGGGGGGATGGATATAATGTGAGGGGAAATGGGGTAACAGGAAGCAGGGATGGTGTGTGTATTTGAACGTCCACAGACTGGCTTCTGGCAGATTCACACACAACTGATTTCCACTCCAGAGAGATTACCTCATCGGCCAAATACACACTACCACATGCAGATAACAGCACTCACAACATTCACATTCAAACCAAACCCACTCAAAATTCTCATTGACATTATCCCAAGCACACAAATGCAGTGGGAAGTAGCAGCCACACATACATCTGCTGCTGGATCTGGTTAAAAATGCCACTGTATTACAATCGGCCACATAACCACCACCACTGTCCTACACACATTCCTACATGCACTCTCCCTCTCCCTCTTCACACAGACGTCATTCACCGTCTGAGTCACTGGCCATTGTTCACATTGACAAATACCAGTGAACCTTTAGTAGGCTGATTGACTTTGTGACTGATAATGAGAGCTTCTTAGCGCACGGCTAATGTCAGCTACACACTGTAAACCCAAAACGTCGGGGCCGTGGAGTCCCTCCTCACACTTGCCGATTGACCGAACGAACGCTCATCACTTCCAAATCCCCGTGACTCATCGTCAGGACGTTGTGCCGCACACTCACACGCGTAGAAACACACAGACACACACACATACACACAGAGCACGGTTAGCCCTCATCATGCACAGCACAACTGCAGCTGCCTAGGGCTGGGCTGAGGTTTGACGCTAGCGGATTAGACAGATGCAATAGAAGAGTTGGCTGACAACGTCACAAAAATGATGCGCGCGCATCGATGTGGCCGGAAGGCGTGCATTGTTATGATTCTGAACGGTCAGATAGCTAGCAACAATGACAAGAAGCTGCCTTGATGGGAATCGTAGGTGGTTCTTTTCAGTTCGTTGTATCTTGTTATTGATACCATGTCTTGTTTTGAGGTGTTTTGACTGATGCCATGTCTATGCTAATATGGCAAACATTTGCTAGTTAACTAACCAACAACTGCAGCAATGTATTTGAGAGACAGCAAGTGCTCATTGTGCAAATGTATTTAAGTTTTAAAGAACATTTGGCTAATAAATATAGTTTACATGTTGTCAACAGTCTAAGCCAACCTCATCTGTTTTGACTCATAGTTGCACACGTGTCAGGTTGGTTGCTAAACAACCAAGCCATCTATGGGGGAGAAGGGAACCATTGTCAACATTTATGGTATTATTTTTAACAGGGAAAATAAACAGGGGACTGGAAGGGCGAATTCGGAGGGGTGATCAGCCATGTGAGCGAGGACAACACAAGTTGGGCTACTCTTGGCAAAGATGATCAAGGAAGAGTCAAGCAACTTTGTCTGCTAGATCAGTGTTTCTCAACTCCAGTCCTCCAGTTCCCCCAGCAGCACACATTTTGTTGTAGCCCTGGACAAACTCACCTGATTCAACTCGTTGAGGGCTTGATGATTGAATCAGGTGTGCTTGTCCGAGGCGACAACAGAAATGTGTGCTGTTAGGGGTACTCGAGGACTGGAGTTGGGAAACACCGTGCTAGATGTACAGTGAGGGAAAAAAGTATTTGATCCCCTGCTGATTTTGTACGTTTGCCCACTGACAAAGAAATGATCAGTCTATAATTTTAATGGTAGGTTTATTTGAACAGTGAGAGACAGAATAACAACAAAAAAATCCAGAAAAACGCATGTCACAAATGTTATAAATTGATTTGCATTTTAATGAGGGAAATAAGTATTTGACCCCCTCTCAATCAGAAAGATTTCTGGCTCCCAGATGTCTTTTATACAGGTAACGAGCTGAGATTAGGAGCACACTCTTAAAGGGAGTGCTCCTAATCTCAGCTTGTTACCTATATAAAAGACACCTGTCCACAGAAGCAATCAATCAATCAGATTCCAAACTCTCCACCATGGCCAAGACCAAAGAGCTCTCCAAGGATGTCAGGGACAAGATTGTAGACCTACACAAGGCTGGAATGGGCTACAAGACCATCGCCAAGCAGCTTGGTGAGAAGGTGACAACAGTTGGTGCGATTATTCGCAAATGGAAGAAACACAAAATACCTGTCAATCTCCCTCGGCCTGGGGCTCCATGCAAGATCTCACCTCGTGGAGTTGCAATGATCATGAGAACGGTGAGGAATCGGCCCAGAACTACACGGGAGGATCTTGTCAATGATCTCAAGGCAGCTGGGACCATAGTCACCAAGAAAACAATTGGTAACACACTACGCCGTGAAGGATTGAAATCTTGCAACGCCCACAAGGTCCCCCTGCTCAAGAAAGCACATATACAGGCCAGTCTGAAGTTTGCCAATGAACATCTGAATGATTCAGAGGAGAACTGGGTGAAAGTGTTGTGGTCAGATGAGACCAAAATCGAGCTCTTTGGCATCAACTCAACTCGCCGTGTTTGGAGGAGAAGGAATACTGCCTATGACCCCAAGAACACCATCCCCACCATCAAACATGGAGGTGGGAACATTATGCTTTGGGGGTGTTTTTCTACTAAGGGGACAGGACAACTTCACTGCATCAAAGGGACGATGGACGGGGCCATGTACCGTCAAATCTTGGGTGAGAACATCCTTCCCTCAGCCAGGGCATTGAAAATGGGTCGTGGATGGGTATTCCAGCATGACAATGACCCAAAACACACGGCCAAGGCAACAAATGAGTGGCTCAAGAAGAAGCACATTAAGGTCCTGGAGTGGCCTAGCCAGTCTCCAGACCTTAATCCCATAGAAAATCTGTGGAGGGAGCTGAAGGTTCGAGTTGCCAAACGTCAGCCTCGAAACCTTAATGACTTGGAGAAGATCTGCAAAGAGGAGTGGGACAAAATCCCTCCTGAGATGTGTGCAAACCTGGTGGCCAACTACAAGAAACGTCTGACCTCTGTGATTGCCAACAAGGGTTTTGCCACCAAGTACTAAGTCATGTTTTGCAGAGGGGTCAAATACTTATTTCCCTCATTAAAATGGAAATCAATGTATAAAATGTTTGACATGCGTTTTTCTGGATTTTTTTTTCTTTTTCTGTCTCTCACTGTTCAAATAAACCTACCATTAAAATTATAGACTGATCATGTCTTTGTCATTGGGCAAACGTACAAAATCAGCAGGGAATCAAATACTTTTTTCCCTCACTGTACATATTACTGCACTGTTTGAGCTAGGAACACAAGCATTTCGCTACACCCGCAATAACATCTGCTAAATATGTGTATGCGACCAATACAATTTGATTTGAAGAAATAGAATTGACCTGACTTGTCTAGTTCAGTGCCTTTAGCACTAGCCTGGTCTAAATACAGCTGATACACGCACACAAACACACTCGCGCACAATACACACACACACACACACACACCCTCATCTAATTCTCAACCCAGAAACACACACCTCAGAAACACAAACAAATTAGCTGATTCCAGCTGTCCACCGACACAAGTTACAAGACACAGCTAAAACATTAGGTTGGCATTTATTGAGATGACTCATGTATTGGAGGTAGCTCTGCAGTGGTCACTAGCTGGCACAGCCACAAGGTCATAAAATCTGATTTTAAACCTAACCCTAACCACACTGCTAACCCTAACCACACTGCTAACCCTAATGCCTAAACCTTAAATGACGACCAAAAAGCAAATTTTTTTGTTTTCATGAATTTTTACGATATAGCCAATTTTGACTTTGCAGCTGGCCCATCTAGCGGAAACCGCTCAGTTCTGCCTCCAGGGCAAGACGCCGCTAAAACATTAGCATGGGTTTACACAGTAAATCATGTTTAATTTTACTGTATGTTTTCTACTGAGAATTAAAAGGGCTACAGAGCACGATTAGTGCTGGGCATTCAATGTTAGCATAGTTAGAAAGTGATTTCTCCTGGGCCCTTGTTTTCTGTTTCTTAACTACGTCTCTAGTCCTCCATCCTTATACAGTGCCTTCACACCCCTTTACTTTTTCCACATTTTGTTGAGTTACAGTCTAAATTTAAAGGTGCAATATGCAGAAATCGCTCCGCCATTTCCTGGTTGCTAAAATTCTAATAGTTCGCCTAATTTCAGTTTATGTGACAAAACAAGCAGTCATTGTGTAGAGAATCATTGTACCATCTAAACCGCTTTGAAATATATTTCCCATAACCAAAAATATTTTATTTTCAGCTGTTTGAAGCTGGTGTACAAAACCGAAAGTAAAATATGCAAAAACTAAATTTAAGAACAGGAAGCATAGAAATAGCGCACATAGAACATATCTACTCCTACTTAGACTTGCTTTCAATAAGAATGAGAGATCTATAACTCATATTTCTATGTGAATTTGGGGTCGCCCAAAAAGTTACATATTGCAGCTTTAAAATTGATTAAATTTAGATTGTGTGTCACTGGCCTACACACAATACCCCATGATGTCAAAGTTGAATTATGTTTATAGAAATGTTTACAAATTAATAAAAAATGAAAAGCTGAAATGTCTTGAGTCAATAAGTATTCAACTCCTTTGTTATGGCAAGCCTAAATAAGTTCAGGAGTAACAATTTGCTTAACAAGTCACATAAATTGCATGGACTCAATAGTGTTTAACATTATTTTTAAATGACTACCTCATCTCTATAGCCCATATATACAAATATCTGTAAGGTCCCTCAGTCGAGCAGTACATTTCAAACACAGATTCAACCAGGGAGGTTTTCCAATGCCTCGCAAAGAATGGATGCTGTATTAATACACCCAGTCACTACAAAGATACAGGCATCAGGGATTTCACCATGAGGCCAATTGTGACTTTTAAAAAATTACAGAGTTTAATGCCTGTTATAGGAGAAAACTGAGGATGGATCAACAACATTGTAGATAGTCCACAATACTAACCTAAATGACAGAGTGAAAAGGTGTAAGCCTGTACAGAATAAAAATATTCCAAAACATGTATCCTGTTTGCAATAAGGCACTAAAAGTAAAACTGCAAAAAATGTGGCAAAGAAATGAACTTTATGTCCTGAATACAAAGCATTATGTTTGGGGCAAATCCAACACAACACTTCACTGAGTACCACTCTTCATATTTTCAAGCATGGTGGTGGCTGCATCATGTTATGGGTATGCTTTTCATCGGCAAGAACTAGGGAGTTTTTTGGGGGGTTAAAAATTAATTGAATAGAGCTAAGCACAGGCAAAATCCTGGTTCAGTCTGCTTTCCAACAGACACTGGGAGACAAATGTACCTTTCAGCAGGACAATAACCTAAAACACAAGGCCAAATATACACTGGAGTTGCTTACCAAGACAACCTGGAATATTCCTGAGTGGCCTAGTTACAGTTTTGACCTAAATTGGCTTGGAAATCTATGGTAAGACTTGAAAATGGCTGTCTAGCAATGATCAACAACCAACTTGACAGAGCTTGTGCAAAGCTCCTAGACACTTACCCAGAAAGACTCACAGCTGTAATCGCTGCCAAAGGTGATTCTAGCATGTATTGACTCAAGGGGGTGAATACTTATGTAAAGGATATATTGCTGTATTTAATTTTCAATAAATTAGCAAACATTTCTAAAAACATGTTTTCACTTTGTCATTATGGGGTATTGTGTGTAGATGGGTGAGATATATCTTTTTTTTTCATCCATTTTGAATTCAGGCTGTAACACAACAAAATGTGGAATACGTCAAGGGGTATGAATACTTTCTGAAGGCACTGTAACTTGGTGACCATGGTGACCATGTTTCCCAGGGGTCAAAATGACTTTTGGTGAGGTCATTCATCCACACATCTAGTCCCTGAGGAGCAACACATCACAAGCTTCTATCAATTCCAGTCTTACCTGGGGCCATCCACACCATCATATGCTCCCACGGTAACATTACGAAACAGCTTCCTCTTGGCTTTCTCACTGCGTGTCTCTGGAACACAAACAGTTCATGTGTCACAATTATATTGATGTGTGTTTTGTGTGTCTTTGTGTTCCACTATTTGTGTATTCCGTATGTCTTTGTATACTTTGTATTCCAGTGCATCTCTGAAACACACAATGATCGAGTTGGTTGTGGTGGTGTTATTAATGTTACTGGGTGGATGTGATACATGGTCTACTGCTTGTAACATTGTGAGGATCTCCTGCAGTCAATAGAATGCTGGCAACTGAATGACGATAAAATTAGTCAGTCAGTAAATGCTGGGCTAGCATCTATAGATGGACTTTGGTTGGTGTTTGTCTGAGCTGATGTAATGCGAGTGGCGATAGTGTCTTTGTCTGAACACACATAGTATTTGGTTTCTATAAGGTTGGTGGTGTTGTCTCACCTGATCGATTGTCCTTAATGGGAGGACCCACCTCCTCCACATAGTCTGAGGGGAACCAGCCTGTACGACCCTTCACTGTGCCCTCCCAGAACCCCCCCTCTCCCACACTCAACACTGAGAGAGAGAAGAGAAGAGGGGTGAATCAAAACTTTATCATCAACACAGTGGCATTCCAAAAAAAACACTCCTCTCTGAATCTCTCTTACCTTTGACTTTGTCTCCTTTGCTGATGCTAAGCTCTTTGTCTCCATGGGCAGTGTAGGCCCTTGTGGCCACGTACACTCGCCCTGGGACCGCACTGTACATACGCCTCATCTGACCCCCAGCTGATCCCCCGCCACTACCCGTTGAGGTCACACTGCAAGAGGAAAGACAGAGCGGAACAGAAGAGTTTGTGTTAGTGTGTAGTGGAACAACACCTGGTGATACCAGTAGCAGAGACAGAAGGATAATGGATGGCTTAGGAGTCATGCCAGTGGTTTACACTATTAGAATAAAGCGTTTTGAAGCTTCAAAGCTGGTAAAAGTCAATTTGCTGTAGACAACCGCAACATTTTGCATTTGTACATTATTTTATAAATAGAGTTACATATGTACAGTTGAAGTCGGAAGTTTACATACACCTTAGCCAAATACATTTAAACTCAGTTTTTCACAATTCCTGACATTTAATCCTAGTAAAAATTCCCTGTTTTAGGTCAGTTAGGATCACCACTTTATTTTAAGAATGTGAAATGTCAGAATAATAGTAGAGAGAATGATTTATTTCAGCTTTTATTTCTTTCATCACATTCCCAGTGGGTCAGAAGTTTACATACACTCAATTAGTATCTGGTAGCATTGCCTTTAAATTGTTTAACTTGGGTCAAACGTTTCGGGTAGCCTTCCACAAGCTTCCCACAATAAGTTGGGTGAATTTTGGCCCATTCCTCCTGACAGAGCTGGTGTAACTGAGTCAGGTTTGTAGGCCTCCTTGCTCGCACATGCTTTTTCAGTTCTGCCCACACATTTTCTATAGGATTGAGGTCAGGGCTTTGTGATGGCCACTCCAATACCTTGACTGTGTTGTCCTTAAGCCATTTTGCCACAACTTTGGAAGTATGCTTGGAGTCATTGTCCATTTGGAAGACCCATTTGCAACCAAGCTTTAATTTCCTGACTGATGTCTTGAAATGTTGCTTCAATATATCCACATAATTTTCCTTCCTCATGATGCCATCTATTTTGTGAAGTGCACCAGTCCCTCCTGCAGCAAAGCACCACCTCAGCATGATGCTGCCACTCCCGTGCTTCACAGCTGGGATGGTGTTCTTCGGCTTGCAAGCAACCCCCTTTTTCCTCCAAACATAACGATGGTCATTATGGCCAAACAGTTATATTTTTGTTTCATCAGACCAGAGGACATTTCTCCAAAAAGTATGATCTTTGTCCCCATGTGCAGTTGCAAACCGTAGTCTGGCTTTTTTATGGTGGTTTTGGAGCAGTGGCTTCTTCCTTGCTGAGCGGCCTTTCAGGTTATGTCGATATAGGACTCGTTTTACTGTGGATTTAGATACTTTTGTACCTGTTTCCTCCAGCATCTTCACAAGGTCCTTTGCTGTTGTCCTGGGATGGATTTGCACTTTTCGCACCAAAGTATGTTCATCTCTAGGAGACAGAACGCGTCTCCTTCCTGAGCGGTATGACGGCTGCATGGTCCCATGGTGTTTATACTTGCGTACTATTGTTTGTACAGATGAACGTGGTACCTTCAGGCGTTTGGAAATTGCTCCCAAAGATGAAACAGACTTTTGGAGGTTTACAATAATTTTTCTTAGGTCTTGGCTGATTCTTTTGATTTTCCCATGATGTCAAGCAAAGAGGCACTGAGTAGACCTTGAAATACATCCACAGGTACACCTCCAATTGACTCAAATTATGTCAATTAGCCTATCAGAAGCTTCTAAAGCCATGACATCATTTTCTGGAATTTTCCAAGCTGTTTAAAGGCACAGTCAACTTAGTGTATGTAAACTTCTGACCCACTGGAATTGTGATACAGTGAATTATAAGTGAAATAATCTGTCTGTAAACAATTGTTGGAAAAATTACTTGTGTCATGCACAAAGTAGATGTCCTAACCGACTTGCCAAAACTATAGTTTGTTAACAATAAATTTGTGGAGTGGTTGAAAAACGAGTTTTAATGACTCCAACCTAAGTGTATGTAAACTTCAGACTTCAACTGTACGGTCACTCCCTCCACTATGTCCTCACCCCTGTCTGCCGCGCTGTGGTTTGCTGTGATGCCTCTCCTCTGTGTCACTCTGTCCTCCTCCTCTTCCTCGTGATGGGGAGCGGGTACGGGCCCTGGGACTGCTGGAGCTCCTCACACCTACAGAGGCCCTGCGACCCTAGAGAGAGAGGGGAACAAACAAGTACACACACACACACACACACACACACTGATTATATAAATACATAGGCTGAATGATATAATTGTGTTGACACTTACACAAACCCAAACTCACAAATCATTGCTTAAGATCTCAGAGTAACTAAAAGCATAGCTCCCCAATAAACAATGAAGTAGGAATTTCCCACTGCATCTCCATACTGTGCCTCTCAGTACCTGTCCAGGGATGGGATTGGATCTAGCAGCCTTGTTGGGCAGGGCCATGGTATCAGGCAGGGTCATGCTGTTATCACTGTTAGCACGCAGGAGGGGGTGGGGGTGAGCCATGAGGAGAGGGAGCGTGCGTGCACTCTCTCCTCTTTTGGGAGCATACTTTGGGAATTCCAGAAAGGGCACTGAGAAAAGATATTGACAGATAGGTGGGAGAGCAGTGAGGTTAGTGCAAGAGGGGGAGAGAAAGAAGGAGGGAATATTGTGAGAGTGTGAACGATTACCAACCAGACCCAAGTGATTCGGATGCAAAGACAATCCACAAGCAACACGGATGGACTTGAACACCACACAACACAACCCTGAAACTGGGCAAGCAATCATCTAAAGGATCACTTGAGGTAAAAGGGATACTTCGGGATTTTGGCAATGAAGCCCTTCATGTACTTCCCCAGAGTCAGATGAGCTCATGGATACTGTTTTCATGTCTCTGCATCCAGTATGAAGGAAGTTAGAGGTAGTTTTACAGGCCAATGCTAACTAGCATTAGCGCAATGACTGGAAGTCTATAGTCTATGGTAACAGCTAGCTGTTACCATAGACTACCAGTCATTCCGCTAATACTAGTTAGCAATTGCGCTATCGCTAGTTAGCAACTTTCTTCAAACCACACAAGTTCAAGCCACATCTGAACCAACACAGAAACAAAATAGTTTGTAAAATGTCTAGGGATTAGCCTCTATTCTGATACAATGCACCACATGAAATACTATCTACCAGTGTGATAAAACAACTTAATAAGATGGCAAAAGACAACAGATGTGAGTCAAAGGTTGATTGATGAAGCAGAACATTCATACCAAACAATGCACTGCAAAGTGATTCATAGCAGACAGAACAAAATAAATACAGTAGACACTCATGCATCAAAACACACTATCAATCACTTCATAATCTGAAGAGACCCAAGTGGAGGACCAAGACTTACCTACATCTGCATCTCTGTGGTTTTTGATGATTTCCCCGATTTCAAAATGGCCTGACATTACTGCTACCTTCAAAACACAGACACATGTACACACACACACAATTACATGCAACTGTGCAACATTCCCCTAATACATGCACCAGGTACAGGTACAGTTCCCCCAAAACATTAAACACCTAATTTAATAAATGCTTTGCAAATAATACATTTATAACAAGTAACTGATGTTCAACTCAATGGTTTATTTACGTATAACAACCCTGATTACATTTGGCGTAGTCGGCTGTATAAAAAAAATTAAGAAAACTGAAAACATGAAGTTGTTATTGATACCTGAAACGGGGTTTGTCCATGCTTGTTCTTCATTTCCTTATTGGCCCCTCTGTAGAGCAGAACACGAACACAGCTTTCCTGATAGGCCAGAAAGACAGACGCTGTTTAAAGGCCCAGTGCAGTCAAAAACTTAATTTTCATTTGTTTTATATCTATTTCCACACTTTGAGGTTGGAATAATTCTGTGAAATTGTGAAAATGATGATAACCCTTTCAGTGTAAGAGCTGTTTTTAAAGACCACTTAAACCACTCCCAGACAGTCCTAGCAACATTCTTGCTTGAGTAATTGCTCTTTGCTAAGAAGCTATTTGTTTCTTTTTTATCATTTTAATTGAAAACAATCACAGTAAGGTACTTCATTGTTATCCAGAAATGATTTGATATTTCGATAAAAACGGCTGCATTGGACCTTTAACTTGATTCAGGACTAAAATATCACACAGTAATTTTGGAACTCACATACCAGTTACTTTAAGTTCAACTTTGAATGGACACAAACACTCTTTATTGCGTATTTTAAATGGTACTTACCTTATTATACAGGGCACAAATGTGAAGTGCGGTATTCCCTAAGGCATTCTGAGAAGTGGTATCTGCCCCATAAAACAGAAGGTGCTCCAGGTGCTGGGCAAAACCATTCTGGCAGGCCTTGGGGGAAGTGTGTAAAAAAAGTATCTAAAGATTACAATTATTAGCAAAATAAAATCTCAGGGGTTGTAGAAGGATCATCACGTCACAATCAATTGCAAATAAATGAAATATACAGTGTATTCGGAAAGTATTCAGACCCTTTGACTTTTTCCACATTTTATTATGTTACAGCCTTATTCTAAAAATGATGAAATTGTTTTACTCACAGGTCCTCAACTGGCAGCTTCATTAAATAGTACCTGCAAAACACCAGTCTCAACGTCAACAGTGAAGAGGTGGCCAATAAAAAGAAAAGATTAAGATGGGCAGTCTGAGATATGGCTTTTTCTTTGCAACTCTGCCTAGAAGGTCAGAATCCCGGAGTCGCCTCTTCACTGTTGACGTTGAGACTTGTGTTTTGCGGGTACTATTTAATGAAGCTGCCAGTTGAGGACCTGCGAGGCGCCTGTTTCTCAAACTAGACACTCTAATGTATTTGTCCTCTTGCTCAGTTGTGGACCGGGGCCTCCCACTCCTCTTTCTATTCTGGTTAGAGCCAGTTTGCGCTGTTCTGTGAAGGTAGTAGTATACAGCGTTGTACGAGATCTTCAGATTCTTGGCAATTTCTCGCATGGAATAACCTTCATTTCTCAGAACAAGAATAGACTGATGAGTTTCAAAATAAAGTTATTTCTTTCTGTCCATTTTTAGCCTGTAATCAAACCCACAATTGCTGATGCTCCAGATACTCAACCAGTTTCAAGAAGGCCAGTTTTACTGCTTCTTTAAATAATAATAATAATAATATGCCATTTAGCAGACGCTTTTATCCAAAGCGACTTACAGTCATGCGTGCATACATTTTTGTGTATGGGTGGTCCCGGGGATCGAACCCACTACCTTGGCGTTACAAGCGCCGTGCTCTACCAGCTGAGCTACAGAGGACCACTCTTTAATCACCACAACAGTTTTCAGCTGTACTAACATAATTGCAAAAGGGTTTTATAATGATCAATTAGCCTTTTAAAATGATAAACTTGGATTAGCAAACACAACGTGCCATTGGAACACAGGACTGATGGTTGCTGATAATGGGCCTCTATACGCCTATGTAGATATTCCATTAAAAATAAGCAGTTTCCAGCTACAATAGCCATTTACAACATTAACAATATCTACACTGTATTTCTGATCAATTTGATGTTATTTTGAAAATTGCTTTTCTTTCGAAAACAAGGACATTTCTATGTGACCCCAAACTTTTGAACGGTAGTGTACAGTGAGGGAAAAAAGTATTTGATCCCCTGCTGATTTTGTACGTATGCCCACTGACAAATACATGATCAGTCTATAATTTTAATGGTAGGTTTATTTGAACAGTGAGAGACAGAATAACAACAAAAAAATCCAGAAAAACGCATGTCAAAAATGTTATAAATTGATTTGCATTTTAAATCAGGGAAATAAGTATTTGACCCCTCTGCAAAACATGACTTAGTACTTGGTGGCAAAACCCTTGTTGGCAATCATATAGGTCAGACGTTTCTTGTAGTTGGCCACCAGGTTTGCACACATCTCAGGAGGGATTTTGTTCCACTCCTCTTTGCAGATCTTCTCCAAGTCATTAAGGTTTCGAGGCTGACGTTTGGCAACGCGAACCTTCAGCTCCCTCCACAGATTTTCTATGGGATGAAGGTCTGGAGACTGGCAGGACCTTAATGTGCTTCTTCTTGAGCCACTCCTTTGTTGCCTTGGCCGTGTGTTTTGGGTCATTGTTATGCTGGAATACACATCCACGACCCATTTTCAATGCCCTGGCTGAGGGAAGGAGGTTCCCTCCATCGTCCCTTTGATGCGGTGAAGTTGTCCTGTCCCCTTAGCAGAAAAACACCCCCAAAGCATAATTTTTCCACCTCCATGTTTGACGGTGGGGATGGTGTTCTTGGGGTCATAGGCAGCATTCCTCCTCCTCCAAACACGGCGAGTTGAGTTGATGCCAAAGAGCTCGATTTTGGTCTCATCTGACCACAACACTTTCACCCAGTTCTCCTCTGAATCATTCAGATGTTCATTGGCAAACTTCAGACGGCCCTGTATATGTGCTTTCTTGAGCAGGGGGACCTTGCGGGCGCTGCAGGATTTCAGTCCTTCACGGCGTAGTGTGTTACCAATTGTTTTCTTGGTGACTATGGTCCCAGCTGCCTTGAGATCATTGACAAGATCCTCCCATGTAGTTCTGGGCTGATTCCTCACCGTTCTCATGATCATTGCAACTCCACGAGGTGAGATCTTGCATGGAGCCCCAGGCCGAGGGAGATTGACAGGTCTTTTGTGTTTCTTCCATTTGCGAATAATCGCACCAACTGTTGTCACCTTCTCACCAAGCTGCTTGGCAATGGTCTTGTAGCCCATTCCGGCCTTGTGTAGGTCTACAATCTTGTCCCTGACATCCTTGGAGAGCTCTTTGGTCTTGGCCATGGTGGAGAGTTTGGAATCTGATTGATTGATTGCTTCTGTGGACAGGTGTCTTTTATACAAGTAACAAACGGAGATTAGGAGCACTCCCTTTAAGAGTGTGCTCCTAATCTCCGCTCGTTACCTGTATAAAAGACACCTGGGAGCCAGAAATCTTTCTGATTGAGAGGGGGTCAAATACTTATTTCCCTCATTAAAATGTAAATCAATGTATAACATTATAGACATGCGTTTTTCTGGATTTTTTTGTTGTTATTCTGTCTCTCACTGTTCAAATAAACCTACCATTAAAATTATAGACTGATCATTTCTTTGTCAGTGGGCAAACGTACAAAATCAGCAAGGGATCAAATACTTATATACATACAGTGAGGGTATACACATACATACTTTACATATAAATACAATATATACACATATCAAATAAATTATATTTCCCTTTATTACTTTCCAACCCCACCACCCCTTCCCTAATTGGAGTAAACTAGTGAACAACAACGCTTAGGCCTCTACTTCCAGCTTATACATACTATATACATTTTATGGACACAGTCAATTTTACAATAATTCTATTTTGTTTGTTTTTACTCCTGAACTTCCTCTACCCTCAACCTCTCCGATCATTTTCATGATGTCCATCTGGTTTGCTTCTACTGTATATGCCATATCTTTCTAACTGTGCTCTTTCACAAAAGCTCTCAACCTATAACCTATATACTTATTATGGACACAGTATTCTTTACATTAGTTATCTTGTTGTTATTAGTTGTTGTTAGTTGTTATTAGTCCCATCCATCTCTATTCAACACCTCCCATCTACAGTGGGGAAAAAAAGTATTTAGTCAGCCACCAATTGTGCAAGTTCTCCCACTTAAAAAGATGAGAGAGGCCTGTAATTTTCATCATAGGTACACGTCAACTATGACAGACAAAATGAGGAAAAAAAATCCAGAAAATCACATTGTGGGATTTTTTATGAATTTATTTGCAAATTATGGTGGAAAATAAGTATTTGGTCAATAACAAAAGTTTCTCAATACTTTGTTATATACCCTTTGTTGGCAATGACACAGGTCAAACGTTTTCTGTAAGTCTTCACAAGGTTTTCACACACTGTTGCTGGTATTTTGGCCCATTCCTCCATGCAGATCTCCTCTAGAGCAGTGATGTTTTGGGGCTGTCGCTGGGCAACACAGACTTTCAACTCCCTCCAAATATTTTCTATGGGGTTGAGATCTGGAGACTGGCTAGGCCACTCCAGGACCTTGAAATGCTTCTTACGAAGCCACTCCTTCGTTGCCCGGGCGGTGTGTTTGGGATCATTGTCATGCTGAAAGACCCAGCCACGTTTCATCTTCAATGCCCTTGCTGATGGAAGGAGGTTTTCACTCAAAATCTCACGATACAAGGCCCCATTCATTCTTTCCTTTACACGGATCAGTCGTCCTGGTCCCTTTGCAGAAAAACAGCCCCAAAGCATGATGTTTCCACCCCCATGCTTCACAGTAGGTATGGTGTTCTTTGGATGCAACTCAGCATTCTTTGTCCTCCAAACACGACGAGTTGAGTTTTTACCAAAAAGTTCTATTTTGGTTTCATCTGACCATATGACATTCTCCCAATCCTCTTCTGGATCATCCAAATGCACTCTAGCAAACTTCAGACGGGCCTGGACATGTACTGGCTTAAGCAGGGGGACACGTCTGGCACTGTAGGATTTGAGTCCCTGGCGGCGTAGTGTGTTACTGATGGTAGGCTTTGTTACTTTGGTCCCAGCTCTCTGCAGGTCATTCACTAGGTCCCCCCGTGTGGTTCTGGGATTTTTGCTCACCGTTCTTGTGATCATTTTGACCCCACGGGGTGAGATCTTGCGTGGAGCCCCAGATCGAGGGAGATTATCAGTGGTCTTGTATGTCTTCCATTTCCTAATAATTGCTCCCACAGTTGATTTCTTCAAACCAAGCTGCTTACCTATTGCAGATTCAGTCTTCCCAGCCTGGTGCAGGTCTACAATTTTGTTTCTGGTGTCCTTTGACAGCTCTTTGGTCTTGGCCATAGTGGAGTTTGGAGTGTGACTGTTTGAGGATGTGGACAGGTGTATTTTATACTGATAACAAGTTCAAACAGGTGCCATTAATACAGGTAACGAGTGGAGGACAGAGGAGCCTCTTAAAGAAGAAGTTACAGGTCTGTGAGAGCCAGAAATCTTGCTTGTTTGTAGGTGACCAAATACTTATTTTCCACCATAATTTGCAAATAAATTCATTAAAAATCCTACAATGTGATTTTCTGGATTTTTTTCCTCTCAATTTCTCTGTCATAGTTGACGTGTACCTATGATGAAAATTACAGGCCTTTCTCATCTTTTTAAGTGGGAGAACTTGCACAATTGGTGGCTGACTAAATAATTTCCCCCCCCACTGTATCTCTTAACACATCCATATTGGATTTCTATTCATCATATATTTTTCAACTGTACTGTGATGTTTCACAAAAGTTCTGAACCCTTCTAGTCTCATTGTTTCTACAGATCGTAATTTGAAAATAAACATTTTTGCTAAAAGTATTATTATATTATTGATCGATTGACTATTACTTTTCAGATCATCCAGTAGTGCTATCTGCAGGGTTAGCGCCAGGTAAATATTGCAATCCTTCAGCCATTCCTGGACCTGTGTCCAAAAACAAGCTACAAACGGACAGTACCAAAACAAATTATCTAATGGTTCTGTCTCTTCACAGCAAAATCTACAGAGCTGGGAAGATTGTATCCCCCATATAAATAACATTCTATTGGTAGCAACAATTTTGTATAATAATTAAAATTGAAAAATTATACGTTTTGAATTTTGCGTATCAGTTCATAAACACTAATCCATGGAATCGGTACGTCAAAAATCTCTTCCCAACTATTTTGCAATCTATATGGGACGGCTGTCGATCCTTTGGTCCTTAAATGAAACTGGTATACTTTTTTATTTATCACAATTTTCTTTAACCAATTATATTCTTTAATGCAGGGCCGACAGACAAGTTCCTTACTTTTCCCCCCTTCCACTTTCCTCTTCCATTTTTGTGGTAATGCTACAATTATTTGGTTGTAATTTTGGGTAGGGCAGACATTGCCATATGTTTTTGTTAGCTGCATGTGCGACATAACTCCACCAGTCCTACCTATGATATAATTTACGAAGATTATACCTTTTTAAAACATTTTTTCTAAAAATAATGTTTTTTAATCAATTAGTATATTTCAGTTTAACCACAATATTGGTTGCATTATTTGTTCTGTCGTTTCTGGAGGATTTAATTGAAATTGCAACCAACTTTCTATGGCTTGTTTTAGAAATAGTGATATTTGGGAGATTATTTCCTTTTCAAATAACTGAAAGTGCGAGGTTGTAATCTGAATAAAGGGAAAAAGGCCATTCTTGAACATAGGGTGAGACAATCTTACTAATTTGCTAGAGAACCAGTTCGGATATAAGTATAACTTTTGTATGACTGAAGCTTTTAGTGATAGGTCTAATGCTTTAATAGTTAATCATTTCTGTCCTCCAAATTCATATTCATTATATAAATAGGCCCGTTTAATTTTGTCTGGCTTGCCGTTCCAAATAACATGGAATATTTTTTTATCATATAATTTAAACAACTGTTCGCTAGGCGTAGGCAAGACCATAAGCAAATAGGTAAACTGGGATAATACTAAAGAGTTAAATCCGGGTGATTTTTCCACAAATAGACATGTATTTACCTTTCCATGGTAGCAAGATCTTATCTATTTTTGCTAACTTTCTATAAAAATGTATTGGAGTGAGATCATTTATTTCATTTGGGATATGTATTCCGAGTATATCCACATCACCATCAGACCATTGTATTGGTAAACTACATGGTAATGTAAAAATTGTATTTTTTAGTGATCCAATACATAATATAGTACATTTATCATAATTTGGTTGTAATCCAGAGAGGTTAGAAAATTAATCTAGATCCTCTATGAGGCTATGGAGGGATTCAAGTTGTGGATTTAAAAGAAAACATGAATCATCAGCGTACAATGACACCTTTGCTTTTAAGCCCTGGATTTCTAATCCCTTGATATTATTGTTGGATCTGATTTTAATAGCTAACATTTCGATGGCCATAATAAATAGATATGCAAATAGTGGACAACCTTGTTTTACTCCTCTTGACAGTTTAAAACTTTAGGAGAAATAGCCATTATGTACTATTTTACACCTAGGGTTACTATACATGATTTTAACCCATTGTATAAGAGATTCTCCAAAATTGAAAAGCTCCGGCATTTATATATAAACTCCAGTCATACTTTTTTTCAAAGTCTGCTATGAATAGCAGGCCTGGTTTCCCAGATTTTTCATAGTGTTCTATTGTTTCCAGTACTTGCCTTATATTATCTCCAATGTATCGTCCATGTAAAAAACCTGTCTGATTAGAATGAATAATGTCCGACAATACCTTTTTAATTCTATGCGCTATACATTTTGCTAGAATTTTTGCACCGCAACACTGAAGTGTAAGGGGCCTCCAAATGTTTAAATGGACTGGATCTTTATATTTTCCACTTGTATCCTGTTTCAGTAATAATGAAATTAGACCTTCTTCTTGAGTGTCTGATAATCTATATTTACATAGGAGTGGTTAAAACATGCTAATAACGGTCCTCTGAGTATATCAAAAAAGGTTTGGTATACCTCGACTGGTATGCCATCCAACCCTGGAGTTTTCCCGGACTTAAAGTCTTTAATTGCATCCAGAAGTTCATCCTCTGTAATTTCACCTTCACATGAGTCTTTCTGTATGGCTGTTAATTTTACATTATCAATAGAAAGAAAATCGCTACAATTAGCTTCAGTTAGAGGAGATGGGGGCGACTGAAACGAAAACATATGCTTAAAGTACTTTGCTTCCTCCTTCAAAATATAATTTGGTGAATCAAGGGTGACTCCGTCATTTGTAACCAGTTTCAGTAAATTATTTTTGGTAGTATTTCTATGTTGAAGATTAAAAAATAATTTGGTGCATTTTCCCCATATTCCATCCAGTTTGGTTTATTTTCTATAATATATTACACTTGATCTTTATTGAATAAGTTTCTCAATTTCTTTTGGTTTTTCCTCTAATGTATTCTGAGCCACTATGTTACAGTTTTTATTGCTATCTATCTGTTCTGTTAGACCTTCTATTTCCTTTGTTAGTATGGACTCTTTTGACCTAAATTGCTTTTGAGTACTGAATTGCATGGCCTCTAAAGGCACATTTAAAAGTGTCCCATACAATGATCCTAAGTGTTACTCTTCCCGCAACTTCATGACTTAAATGGAAGTATTAATGGATTACATGATGAGTACCTTGTGTATTTCTTGCATTCCAAATTCCTCTTCATCCCTGAGCTATGGAGAGAAAGGAAGAGGGGAGGAAAGGGAATGAATGGAAAGAGATGAGTGAGAGTATTTCTCAATGGAGGAGAAAGGAGAGTAGAGAAAGAGGGGTGAAATGTTGAAGACATGAACAGGACAGGAGACTGAAAGTAAAGTAAAAACCTAATGTACTATATCAACGTATGATAATACACAGAAGACGAAAATACATATAAAATGAATAGACATAAAAACAACAGTATACATGTTGTCTCCCACGAATGATCCAGCACCCCCCCCCCCCCCCCCCCTCCTGTCTGAGATATCGTGCGTGACGATCATACGGAAGGAGACCATTCTATTTTTGGGGGAAATTGATCTGCGGGCCTGCAAAAGGGCCGTCCCTGCTTTAGACAGCCAGACGGATACCTGGTGAGACTCCTCCCAGCCGTTTTCATCCCTCACTCCCAGTCTGGCCCTGTAGTAGAGTAGGGTCTCGCAGCAGGAAGTGTCGCCACCTATCAGCACTGAGTGGTACAGCGGGGTCAGGCTACATCGGTCTTTGTAGTCAGGAGACGCTCCCAGGGACAGTAGAGCCTGGCAAGGATGGAGAAAATACAAGTTTATTGAATCCATGATGTGTGTGGTGTGTGTGTGTGTGTGGAGTCCTAGTTACCAGCAGCGCAACGTGATTGTGTGCCCTGACAGCCTTGTGTACAGCTGTCAGTCCATCTCTGGTTCTAAAGTCGACATGGGCCCCACCCTGAACGAGCGCCCTGATCCCCTCCACTGTCATACCAGATTGGACCGCCACAGACAGAGGGGACTCTGAAGAGGAGGGAGAGAAAGAAAGGAGGGAGGGGGAAATGGAGGACCATGAAGAGAGGGCGGGAGCAAAGAAAGAGTTTGAGATTTAAGGGGGTTGTCAATATCTAAACTGATCATTTGACATTTGACTGAAAGCAGTGTCAGAGTCATGCAGTGGCAACCCTATCAAGCTAGTTTTCAACTCACCTCCATTGCCAGGGTCATGGTAGTTTGGGTCGAGGCCTTTGTCCAGGACCTTTGACATCTTATCTAATGATCCACTCGAAATGTAGTCCATGAACTTTTTCAGACTTGCCTGCAAGGGAAGATGTTCACTGGACAATATAAACATTGGTCTGCCATAAACATTCATTTCCATAGCTGTATATGTTTCACCTACAAAGGGACATAAACATATTATAATAACATAGGAAGTACCTTCGTGTGCAGTTTAGTAAGTAGTTTTTCATCCAGGTTTGTTTGTTTGTATACCCTGGTCTTGTACCTAAACTGTGGAACAGAAAATATTTGCAGTAAAAGCAAATATTTAAAACCATCTGAAGGATAAAAACCACATTGTTTTCATACTCCTGGCTCCAACAATGCCTAATCTAAACACTGTAGTGCCTCTGGAACAAAAACTCTAGCCCTGACCGCTTACATATTTGGAACCCCACCCAGGTCATAAACACTTGCAACAGACACACCACCAGAGGGCATCCTAATATCAGTGCATGGGTATCACTGTCCTGTATATTGCTTTTACAATAGGTGGAGCTCCACAGTGAAAAATCTAAGCACTGCAAAACCACTAAAAAACTAATGTATATCAATACATCTATAAGAAGTCTGTTTTTCTCCTACAAACTGGTTAAGGTTGAGGTAAAATCCATGCATATCAAGTCAGTTAAAGAAAATGCAATGAAAATCTGACTTGGGGGCAGCCCACTAGTCTTAGTGAGATTTAAATGCACATCCTGAAAAGCCTCAATCTAAATAGGATCAACATATTATTACTGCTTCACTCTCTAACATCCAGTGTCTCCCATCAAAATACCTCCAGGTAAGGCACCCCTTTCTCAAAGGACTGTGGGTAGTCTCGGAGGCAGCGCTCCTCCTCCAGGAACATGGCGTCTCGTCCCTCTCCGGCGGGCTGGAAGAGGCCGTAGTTGTAGATGTCCCACAGTGGCTCGTTCAGCGAACAGACGACCTGCTGCTTGGCGCTCCACACCGTGAAGTCAGGGTCAAACTGCAGACACCTCTGACAAAGGTAGGAGATGAGAGACAGCACAGTGGAGAGTTAATAAGCATGAGATCTTGAGTGTATTATTTTCAAGGTGGTGTGTGTGTGTGTGTGTGTGTGTGTGTGTGTGTGTGTGTGTGTGTGTGTGTGTGTGTGTGTGTGCGTGTGAGTGTTGGATGGAAGGAAGGAGTGCGGCAAAGGTGAGTTCTACATTTTAAATGCCATTTGATTTGACTGTAAGGTGTATGATTAGCTTGACACACAATTTGTTATCCAAATCTAAAGCATCATGGCAGTTAATTATAACATTGTGACATTTTAGCAACGAGGCTGTATTAATGGCTCTTGATTGACAAGAGTTTGTTTTAAAAGTAGACGTAGCAAGTAATTTATGGAAATTGGTTTCGCCTTTCTATCGATGCCCCTTTACTGGTCTCATTGAAAACGGACAATAATCATGCTTACTCTACTTGAAATAAACAAATAATCTAACTGATACAAACTATTGAACATCAAATGTGCTCATTCGCTGTAAAGCTACTGATTCACTATCACCATTCTGACTCATTTGAATACAAATGAAATGTGTGTAAATTATTAATCAGTTGCCATGTCTATTAACATCTAACAAGATTCAACACACACACAATAAGACTCAATAATTACTAGGCCCAGAGTACAACACTCACTCTGTCAACTAAACCAATTATCTGCCTATGCCATAACCCTAGACCTGCATTGCAATCAATGGAAGACAGAGATTTTCTTCATAAACTTCTTTGGAGGATAAAGCGCTTTTCCCCCCACACATTTACATTTTAGTCATTTAGCAGACGCTCTTATCCAGAGCAACTTACAGTTAGTGAGTGCATACATTTTCATACTGGCCCCATGTGGGAATCAAACCCACAACCCTGGAGTTGCAAGCGCCATGCTTTACCAGCTGAGCTACATGGGGCACATGTCTGTGTTTGATACACTAGAGGCTTTCTGATCACAATGGACAATGTCTTTGATGTTTTTATATGCATCTGGTAACTTTGCACTAATTCGATTTTACGCTGATGTTTATGGAGTCTATTTCCATATAATTCTTTATTAAAAAACATTTGGGACAACATTTTCTATAGTTTTCTCCCCCTCTGCCTATCCGTTTGATACTGTAGCCAACACCACTGGCATGGCAACAAGATCATTAGAGGAGCAAGGCACCCGTTGCCGTAGCAATGCCGTCCCTTGGAGGTAATACCTGAGTGTGTGTGTGTTTCTCTGTGTGTGTGTATGCAAGACGTATGGTGTGTGTGTGTTTGTGTGTGATTCCTGGGAGAGAGCAGAGCTTCAGAAAGTATTCACACTCATTTACTTTTTCCACATTTTGTTGTGTTACAGCCTGAATTTAAAATGGATCAAATAGAGATTTTTTGTCACTGGCCTACACACAATACCACATAACGTCAAAGTGGAATTATGTTATTCAAAATGTTTATAAATTAATAGAAAATGAAAAGCTGAAATGTCTTGAGTCAATAAGTATTCAACCCCTTTGTTATGGCAAGCCTAAATAAGCTCAGGAGTAAAATGTGCTTAACAAGTCACATAATACGTTGCATGGACTCACTCTGCGTGCAATAATAGTGTTTAACCTCATTGAATACCACATTCATGAATGGCAAAAAAAGACAGGAAAAAAAAACATCATAAGGAACAAGGTTTTGAAGTGTCTGTCCCTATATCTAGTAGCTATAAGAAAGCTCAGGAAATATATACAGTGCCTTCAGAAAGTATTCAGTCCCCTTGACTCTTTCCATATTTTATAAAGTTACAGCCTTATTCTAAAATGTATTAAATTGTTTTTTTCCCCTCATCAATCTACACACAATACCCCATAATGACGAAGCAAAAACAGGTTTTTATAAGTTTTTGCTAATTTATAAAAAATACAAAACTGAAATATAACATTTACATAAGTATTCAGACCCTTTACTCAGTACTTTGTTGAAGCACCTTTGACAGCGATTACAGCATCGAGTCTTCTTGGGTAAGACGCTACAAGCTTGGCACACCTGTATTTGGGGGGTTTCTCCCATTCTTCTCTGCAGATCCTCTCAAGCTCTGTCAGGTTGGATGGAGAGCAATGCTGCACAGCTTTTTTCAAGTCTCTCATTCTTCACCGTAGGGATGGTGCCAGGTTTCCTCCAGACGTGACGCTAGGCATTCAGGCCAAAGAGTTCAATCTTGGTTTCATCAGACCAGAGAATCCTGTTTCTCATGGTTGAGAGTCTTTAGGTGCCTTTTGGCAAACTCCAAGCAGGATGTCATGTGCCTTTTACTGAGGAATTGCTTCCGTCTGGCCAATACCATGAAGGCCTGATTGGGTGAGTGCTGCAGAGATGGTTGTCCTTCTGGAAGGTTCTCCCATCTCCACAGAGGAACCCTAGAGGAATCGGGTTCGTGGTCACCTCCCTGACCAAGGCCCTTCTCCCCCGATTGCTCAGTTTGGCCGGGCGGCCAGGTCTAGGAAGTCTTGGTGGTTCCAAACTTCTTCCATGGAAAATTCCTTCGACCTCATGGCTTGGTTTTTGCTCTGACATGCACTGTCAACTGTGGGACCTTATATAGACAGGTGTGTGCCTTTCCAAATCATGACCAATCAATTGAAATTACCACTGGTGGACTCCAATCAAGTTGTAGAAACATCTCAAGGATGATCAATGTAAACAGGATGCACCTGAGCTCAATTTCGAGTCTCATAGCAAAGGGTCTGAATACTTATGTAAATAAGGTATTTCTGTTTAGATTTTTAATACATTTGCAAACATTTCTAAAAACCTGTTTTCGCTTTGTCTGTCATTATGGAGTATTGTGTGTAGATTGCTGAGAATTTGTTTTTTTAAATCAATTTTAGAATAAGGTGGTAACGTAACAAAATGTGGAAAAAGTCAAGTGGTCTGAATACTTTCCAAAGGCACTGTATATATATATATATAATTTTTTTTTGTTGCACATATTTAACCACTTCTTTTTGTTGACACAAAACTACAGTGGCTTGCGAAAATATTCACCTGATAGAAGAATTTGGTAAATTAATAATGACTAATTATTACACCCTGAAGCTGTGTGAAAAGTGTTAGAATCATAAGACTATAAACTGATAATATGTGTAGCTTAGTTAGAAGTACAATGAGGCTGTCAGAATATTGTGAGAACGGCGATAACTGAGGAATGCAGGGAGTAAACTATGATAAGAACATATGTGGGTGACCTGATGGTCAGGAGAGCAGTTTTCTAGTGGAAAACTACAGCCCGCCTAAGGCGGGGTGGGATTTTTTTGAATGACGTGTGTGTATAAAAGGAATGTACCACCATTTTGTTTCAGAACGTTCTCATGAATAAAGCCTGATGATTGTATGCGAGGCTGCTTGGTCTGATTATTAGAGATGTACAACCTCTGGAACTTACAGACTGAGTAATAAGTTCATTTTTGAAACATTGAGATCGAAATTCTCATAACATCACCCCTCTTGGCATTTTTCCTATTTTGTTGCCTTACAATCTGGAATTAAAATTGATTTTTTAAAACTTGAGCGTGCATAACTATTCACCCCCCCAAAGTCAATACTTTGTAGAGCCACCTTTTGCAGCAATTACAGCTGCAAGTCTCTTGGGGTATGTCTCTACAAGCTTGGCACATCTAGCTGGGAATTTTGCCCATTCTTCAAGGCAAAACTGCCCCAGCTCCTTCAAGTTGGAGTACAGCAATCTTTAAGTCATACCACAGATTCTCAATTGGATAGACATTCCCAGACATTTAAATGTTTACCCTTAAACCACTTGAGTGTTGCTTTAGCAGTATGCTTAGGGTCATTGTCCTGCTGGAAGGTGAACCTCTGTCCCAGTCTCAAATCTCTGGAAGACTGAAACAGGTTTCCCTCAAGAATTTCCCTGTATTTAGTGCCATCCATCATTCCTTCAATTCTGACCAGTTTCCCAGTCCCTGCTGATGAAAAACATCCCCACAGCATGATGCTGCCACCACCATGCTTCACTGTGGGGATGGTGTTCTTGGGGTGATGAGAGGTGTTGGGTTTGCGCCAGACATAGCATTTTCCTTTATGGCCAAAAAGCTCAATTTTAGTGTCATCTGACCAGAGTACCTTCTTCCATATGTTTGGGGAGTCTCCCACATGCCTTTTGGCGAACACCAAACGTGTTTGCTTATTATTTTCTTTAAGCAATGGCTTTTTTCTGGCCACTCTTCCGTGAAGCCCAGCTCTGTGGAGTGTATGGCTTAAAGTGGTCCTATGGACAGATACTCCAATCTCCGCTGTGGAGCTTTGCAGCTCCTTCAGGGTTATCTTTGGTGTCTTTGTTGCCGCTCTGATTAATGCCCTCCTTGCCTGGTCCGTGAGTTTTGGTGGGCGGCCCTCTCTTGGCAGGTTTGTTGTGGTGCAATATTCTTTCCATTTTTAAAATAATGGATTTAATGGTGCTGATTGGGATGTTCAAAGTTTCGGATATTTTTTTATAACCCAACTCTGATCTGTACTTCTCCACAACTTTGTACCTGACCTGTTTGGAGAGCTCCTTGGTCTTCTTGGTGCAGCTTGCTTGGTGGTGCCCCCTACTTAGTGATGTTGCAGACTCTGGGGCCTTTCAGAACAGGTGTATATATACAGATCATGTGACACTTAGATTGCACACAGGTGGACTTTATTTAACTAATTATATGACTTCTGACGGTAATTGGTTGCACCAGATCTTATTTAGGGGCTTCATAGCAAAGGGTGTGAATACATATGCACGCACCACTTTTCCGTTATTTTTTTTTTAGGATTTTTTGAAACGTATTTTTTTTTATTTCACTTCACCAATTTGGACTATTTTGTGTATGTCCATTACATGAAATCCAAATAAAAATCAATTTAAATTACAGGTTTTAATGCAACAAAATAGGAAAAACGCCAAGGGGGATGAATACTTTTGCAAGGCACTGTACCTCCATACAGTACTTCCATTATTTTTTATGGGTTACCTTCAGATGAGTCCTGTGACACTTGTGGGGGTCGTATAGCAAAATGGAGAACACCATCGTGTTCGTAATAGTTTGTAGACCAAACCGGTTAGACGCTACAGACATTTCCGTAAAAATACTGATTTTCGGGATGTCTAATGATCTGACAAACACCGCTGTAGCTCGGTCACCTCCCACCGCAGATGCAGAAGGCCGACATAGGCGGATCTCTAGTTTAAACTGACGGATTTTGATGGTTACTTAGATTGACGCACAGGTTCGTCAATAGACTCTTAAGGAGTAACATGATTTCTTTATGACTACCTCATCTCTGTACCCCACACATACAATTTTCTGTAACTCGCTCACTCCAGTGAATTTCAAACACAGATTCAACCAGAAAGACCGGGGAGGTTTTCCAATAAAGAAGGGCAACTTTTGAGCATGGTGAAGTTACAATAATAATAAAAACAGACGCTTTTATCCAAAGCGACTTACAGTCATGCGTGCATACATTTTTGTGTATGGGTTGTCCCGGGGATCGAACCCACTACCCTGGTGTTACAAGCGCCGTGCTCTACCAGCTGAGCTACAGAGGACCACTTTATTAATTACACTTTGGATGGTGTATCAATACACCCAGTCACTACAAAGATACAGGCGTCCTTACAAACGCAGTTGCCGGAGAGGAAGGAAACCAAAACCAAAGTTTAATGGCTGTGATAGGAGTAAACTGAGGATGGATCAACAACATTGTAGTTACTCCACAATACTAACCTAATTGACAGAGTGAAAAGAAGGAAGCTTGTACAGATTAAAAATATTCCAAAACATGCATCCTGGTTGCAACAAGTCACTAAAGTAATACTGCAACAAATGTGGCAAAGCAATTAACTTTTTGACCTGCATACAAAGTCTTATGTTTGGGGCAAATCCAATACAACACATTAATGAGTACCATTCTCCATACTTTCAAGCATAGTGGTGGCTGCATCATGTTATGGTTATGCTTGTAATCGTTAAGGATTGGGTGTTTTTCAGAATAAAAAATAAACGGAATGGAACTAAGCACAGGCAAAATCCTAGAGGAAAACCTGGTTCAGTCTGCTTTCCACCAGACACTGGGAGATAAATTCACCTTTCAGCAGGACAATAACCAAAACACGTGGCTAAATCTACACTGGAATTGCTTACCAAGAAGATAGTGAATGTTCCTGAGTGGCCGAGTTACAGTTTTGACTTAAATCTGCTTGAAGAATTTGTTTACATCCGTTAGTGAGCATTTCTCCTTTGCCAAGATAATTCTTCCACCTAACAGGTGTGGCATATCAAGAAGCTGATTAAACAGCATGATCATTACACAGGTGCACCTTGTGCTGGAGACAATAAAAGGACACTCTAAAATGTGCAGTTTTGTCACACAACACAATGCCACATGTCTCAAGTTTTGAGGACGCGTGTAATTGGCATGCTGACTGCAGGAATGTCTACCAAAGCAGTTGCCTGAGAATTGAATGTTCATTTCTCTACCATAAGCCCCCTTCAACGTTGTTTTAGAGAATTTGGCAGTATGTCCAACCGGCCTCACAACCGCAGACCACGTATAACCAGTGTTGGAAAAAGTATCCAATTGTCATACTTGAGTAAAAGTAAAGTTACCCTAATAGAAAATGACTCAAGTAAAAGTAAAAGTCACCCAGTAAAATACTACTTGAGTAAAAGCCTGAAAGTATTTTGTTTAAAATATACTTAAGTATCAAAAGTAAATGTAATTTCTAAAATATACTTAAGTATCAAAAGTAAAAGCATAAACCATTTCAAAGTCCTTATATTAAGCAAACCAGATGGCAGCATTTTCTAGTTTTTTTTTACATTTATGGATAGCCAGGGGCACACTCCAACATTCAGACATCATTTATAAATGAAGCATGTGAGTTTAGTGAGTCCACCAGATCAGAGTGAGTAGGGATGACCAGGGATGTTCTGTGAGTGAATTGTGTCAATTGTACCATTTTCCTGTCCTGCTAAGCATTCAAAATGTAACAAGAACTTTTGGGTGTTGAGGAAAATGTATGGAGCATAGAGTACAATATTTTCTTAAGGAATGTAGTGAAGTAACATTTTAAGGAGTCAAAAAATAAATAGTGAAGTACAGATATCCCTCCAAAAACGACTTAAGTAGTAATTTCAAGTATTTTTACTTAAGTACATTACACCACTGCATGTAACCACGCCAGCCCAGGACCTCCACTTCCGACTTCTTCACCTCTGGGATCGTCTGAGACCAGCCACCCGGACAGCTGATGAAACTGTTGTGTTCTTCACCTCCGGGATTGTCTGAGACCAGCCACCCGGACAGCTGATGAAACTGTGGGTTTGCACAACCAAATAATTTCTGCACAAACTGTCAGAAACCATCTCAGGGAAGCTAATCTGTATGCTCAACGTCCTCACCAGGATTTTGACCTGACTGCAGTTCGGCATCGTAACTGACTTCAATGGGCAAATGCTCACCTTCGATGGCCACTGGCACGCTGGAGAAGTGTGCTCTTCACAGATTAATCTCGGTTTCAACTGGACCTGGCAGATGGCAGACAGCGTCTATGACATCGTTGTGAACAGAGTGCCCCATGGTGTCGTTGGGGTTATGGTATGGGCAGGCATAAGCTACGGACAACGAACACAATTGCATTTTTCGATGGCTATTTCAATGCACAGAGATACCGTGATGAGATCCTGAGGCCCATTGTTGTGCCATTCATTCCCCGCCATCACCTCATGTTTCAGCATGATAATGCACGGCCCCATGTCGCAAGGATCTGTACACAATTCCTGGAAGCTGAACATTTCCCAGTTTTTCCATGGCCTGCATAATCACAAGACATGTCAACCATTGAGCATGTTTGGGATGCTCTGTATTGACATGTACGACCGCGTGTTCCAGTTCCTGCCAATATCCAGCAACTTTGCACAGCCATTGAAGAGGAGTGGGACAACATTCCACAGGCCACAATCAACAGCCTGATCAACTATGCGAAAGAGATGTGTCGCGCTGCATGAGGCAAATGGTGGTCATACCAGACTGGTTTTCTGATCCACGCCCCTTCCTATCTTTTAAGGTATCTGTGACCAACAGATGCATATCTGTATTCCCAGTCATGTGAAATCCATAGATTAGGGCCTAATTAATTAATTTCAATTAACTGATTTCCTTATATGAACTGTAACTCATTAAAATCGTTGAAATTGTCCCCCGCACATTGACTCTGTGCCGGTACCCCCTGTATATAGCCTCGCTATTGTTATTTTACTGCTGCTCTTTAATTATTTGTTCGTTTTATTTTTAAAATTTTTTTAGGTATTCTTTCTTAAAACTGCATTGTTGGTTAAGATCTTGTATGCACACCCGTTGTATTCGGGAATATGTGACAAATAAAATGATATTTGATTTGACATGCCGTTTATAGTTTTGTTCAGTGTACAATCCAGGTGTGTAAGACACTTACTCGGACACTTACATTTACCCAGAAAGACTCACAGCTGTAATCGCTGCTGAAGGTGATTCTAACATGCATTGACTCAGGGGTGTAAATACTTACACTACCGGTCAAAAGTTTTAGAACACCTACTCGTTCAAGGGTCTTTATTTATTTTTTTACTATTTTCTACATTGTAGAATAATAGTGAAGACATCAAAACTATGAAATAACACATATGGTATCATGTAGTAACCAAATAAAGTGTTAAACTAATCAAAATATATTTGATATTTGAGATTCTTCAAATAGCCACCCTTTGCCTTGATGACAGCTTTGCATTCTTGGTATTCTCTCAACCAACTTCATGAGGTAGTCACCTGGAATGCATTTCAATTAACAGGTGTGCCTTGTTAAAAGTTCATTTGTGGAATTTCTTTCCTTCTTAATGTGTTTGAGCCAATCAGTTGTGTTGTGACAAGGTAGCCCATATTATGGCAAGAACAGCTCAAATAAGCAAAGAGAAACGACAGTCCATCATTACTTTAAGACATGAAGGTCAGTCAATACAGAACATTAAAATAGCCAGTCGCAAAAAACATTAAGCGTTATGATGAAACTGGCTCTCATGAGGACTGCCACAGGAATGGAAGACCCAGAGTTACCTCTGCTGCAGAGGATAAGTTCATTAGAGTTACCAGTCTCTGAAATTGCAGCCCAAATAATTGCTTCACAGAGTTCAAGTAACAGACACATCTCAACATCAACTGTTCAGAGAAGACTGTGTGAATCAGGCTTTCATGGTTGAATTGTTGCAAAGACACCACTACTAAAGGACACCAATAAGAAGAAGAGACTTTCTTGGGCCAAGGAACACGAGCAATGGACATTAGACCGTTGGAAATTTGTCCTTTGGTCTGGAGTCCAAATTTGAGATTTTTGGTTCAAACCGGCGTGTATAAGGAGACGCGGTGTGGGTGAACGGATGATCTCTGCATGTGTTTTTCCCACCGTAAAGCATGGAGGAGGATATGTTATGGTGTGGGGGTGCTTTGCTGGTTACAATGTCTGTGATTTATTTAGAATTCAAGGAACACTTAACCAGCATGGCTACCACAGCATTCTGCAGCGATACGCCATCCCATCTGGTTTGGGCTTAGTGGGACTATCATTTGTTTTTCAACAGGACAATGACCCAACACACCTCCAGGCTGTGTAAGGGCTATTTTACCAAGAAGGAGAGTGATGGAGTGCTACATCAGATGACCTGGCCTCCACAATCCCCTGACCTAAACCAAATTGAGATGATTTGGGATGAGTCAGACCGCAGAGTGAAGAAAAAGCAGCCAACAAGAGCTCAGCATATGTGGGAACTCCTTCAAGACTGTTGGAAAATCATTCCAGGTGAAGCTGGTTGAGAGAATGCCAAGAGTGTGCAAAGCTGTCATCAAGGCAAAGTGTGGCTATTTCAAGAATCTCAAATATAAAATATACTTTGATTTGTTTAACACTTTTTTTGGTTACTACATTATTCCATACAGTGGGGAGAACAAGTATTTGATACACTGCCGATTTTGCAGGTTTTCCTACTTACAAAGCATGTAACGGAATCTAAAACAAAAATCCAGAAAATCACATTGTATGATTTTTAAGTAATTAATTTGCATTTTATTGCATGACATAAGTATTTGATCACCTACCAACCAGTAAGAATTCCGGCTCTCACAGACCTGTTAGTTTTTCTTTAAGAAGCCCTCCTGTTCTCCACTCATTACCTGTATTAACTGCACCTGTTTGAACTCGTTACCTGTATAAAAGACACCTGTCCACACACTCAATCAAACAGACTCCAACCTCTCCACAATGGCCAAGACCAGAGAGCTGTGTAAGGACATCAGGGATAAAATTGTAGACCTGCACAAGGCTGGGATGGGCTACAGGACAATAGGCAAGCAGCTTGGTGAGAAGGCAACAACTGTTGGCGCAATTATTAGAAAATGGAAGAAGTTCAAGATGACGGTCAATCACCCTCGGTCTGGGGCTCCATGCAAGATCTCACCTCGTGGGGCATCAATGATCATGAGGAAGGTGAGGGATCAGCCCAGAACTACACGGCAGGACCTGGTCAATGACCTGAAGAGAGCTGGGACCACAGTCTCAAAGAAAACCATTAGTAACACACTACGCCGTCATGGATTAAAATCCTGTAGCGCACGCAAGGTCCCCCTGCTCAAGCCAGCGCATGTCCAGGCCCGTCTAAAGTTTGCCAATGACCATCTGGATGATCCAGAGGAGGAATGGGAGAAGGTCATGTGGTCTGATGAGACAAAAATAGAGCTTTTTGGTCTAAACTCCACTCGCCGTGTTTGGAGGAAGAAGAAGGATGAGTACAACCCCAAGAACACCATCCCAACCGTGAAGCATGGAGGTGGAAACATCATTCTTTGGGGATGCTTTTCTGCAAAGGGAACAGGATGACTGCACCGTATTGAGGGGAGGATGGATGGGGCCATGTATTGCGAGATCTTGGCCAACAACCTCCTTCCCTCAGTAAGAGCATTGAAGATGGGTCTTGGCTGGGTCTTCCAGCATGACAACGACCCAAAACACACAGCCAGGGCAACTAAGGAGTGGCTCCGTAAGAATCATCTCAAGGTCCTGGAGTGGCCTAGCCAGTCTCCAGACCTGAACACAATAGAAAATCTTTGGAGGGAGCTGAAAGTCCGTATTGCCCAGCGACAGCCCCGAAGGATGTATGGAGGAGTGGGCCAAAATCCCTGCTGCAGTGTGTGCAAACCTGGTCAAGACCTACAGGAAACTTATGATCTACAGGAAACTTCTGCTTTTCTGATGTATCAAATACTTATGTCATGCAATAAAATGCAAATTAATTACTTAAAAATCATACAATGTGATTTTCTGGATTTTTGTTTTAGATTTCGTCTCTCACAGTTGAAGTGTACCTATGATAAAAATTACAGACCTCTACATGCTTTGTAAGTAGGAAAACCTGCAAAATCGGCAGTGTATCAAATACTTGTTCTCCCCACTGTATGTGTTATTTCATAGTTTTGATGTCTTCACTATTATTCTACAATGTAGAAAATAGTCAAAATAAAGAAAAACCCTTGAATGAGTAGGTGTTAAAACTTTTGACCGGTAGTGTATGAGTGTGACACTTCTACCCCTCATTCTGTTGTTTCTGACAGGGTTCTTCTGGGATGCTCTCAGCAGCTGTCCTCATTACATTGAAGATAGCATTGTTCAGACATAAACTACTGAGAGATTTATCAATGTACAGAGATGTATGTTGTAGTGTTGGGGGAAAAAATCGATACAGTTATACATTGGGATATTATTTTTCACGATATATCACAATATTATTGTTGACAATATCGCAATAATATTTTTGCGCTACTCGGCTGTACCTGCACCAAAGCTCCAGTATTTTTTATTTAAAGTTTGTTCGCAATCTTCTTTTTAAATAGTGAGCCAATTTGTTTTCAGCATGACTGATCAAAACACATTTTCTCATGGGCTCAATCTTGTCCCTCTGTGGCAGACATATGGTGAGCAATATGTTTGGAACATCGAATTGCAATAAAATCGCAGTTTCAAATCGCAATACTTATAGAATTGTGAGAATCGCAATACATATCATATCGGCACCAATGTATCATGATAATATCGTAACGTGAAGTCCCTGGCAATTCTCAGCCCAGGTATGTTGTTTGTGACCTTGATCCCCCTCTTTTTGCCTATTCATTGCTCTTTTTGTGTCTCCCTTTCTAATATCCTGCGCTTCTCTCTCTCTCTCTCTCTCTCTCTCGTTCTCTCTCTTTCAGCATCCACTCCACTCCATTCCCTCATTCTCTCCATCCCCCTCTAATTTTGAACAATTATATTTCCTGTGCGAGGTACTGTAAGTTGTTTGTTGGGCTGGGGAGTGGATAGCGGGCGGTCTAGGATGCCCCGTGAGTGACGGTGCTCTAAGACCAAGACACCAAAGGCCCTCTTGGTGTTTACGCCCTCCTCAAACTCATTAAAACTCTATTAGATCATTAGCAATTACTGTTATATTGAGGGCAGATCAGCTGACATGTAGAACAGTTGGGAATGTTCTGGGAATTGGAGTACGGAGAAGAATCATAACGGGGGAGGGGTTAACAAAGGGCACCCATTCTCACCAGAAATGACGCTACAGTATATGGAGTGAGGGGGTTGGCCAATTCTCACCCACAATCACATGCAGTACTGAGAAAGCATCTATAGCTGCAAATCATTGCTAACTTTATTGAGAAGTGAGAACACTGTCAATTACTTTGGATTATTAAGTGAGCTGTGTTTAGCACTTGCATGTAATCCAACCTGAGTCAAGTCTCCAAAGATTTCTGTTCTTCATAGATTCATAACCCATGTGAAAGAGATGGTTGTTCTGAATGTAGTATGGTTCCCCTCAGGATTGATCTCTGGCCTGGGCTTGGCTGTTACACTGTATGTATCTAATGATAGTAATGTAAGAAGTATATAATAACAGCTTGACATACTTGTACTTAGCAGTACCATGAAACATGCACCTACTGTCTGTTTGATGTCAGGGATTCCAATGCGGAACACCATCATGGTCAGGTGAGTGTCCTCTATGGGTGCCACTGTGGTCATACTGCGCTCCATGTGAGCTCGTCTCTTCTGGGTCTGAGTGGACGGGGCCGGGTGATACTGCTGCTGATTGGCTGGGATGAGATGGTGTTGCTGCTTATGGGGGGCCTGGTTGGATGTATAGGGGATGCCTCTATTTCTTGGATTGGCTAGTCTCAGTGTCCGGTCTCCTCTCTGTCTTCCAACCACAATGGCAGAGGGTTTACTTCCCTCCCATTTACCGTCGCGTGATTGTCTGCCTCCCTTTATCTCCATCTCTTCGAGCCCTTCTATCCCTCCATTCTCCTTCTCTCTACTCTCCCCCTTTCTGTTCTCTCGTCCCTGCTCCTCTTCCTCTTCCTCATCCTCCCCATACTTGTCGTCCTCCCCGGGATAATAGTGTTTGCTATTTCCCAGCATCCTTTGCTGTGCAGGGTCACTGCAGAGAGGGCCAGGTGACATTGCTGTCGTGGCAACGTGACATGGTTGTCCCGTGCGACATTGTCTTCACCCCAAAAAACATGCTGTGGAGGAGAGAGGGTAAGGGGTTAAACAAATGGCTAATTAACACATTGACTGATAACACTCAAATCAACACATTTCTCAAACTGTGAGAAAATAAATGAATGCATAAAATGTAAAGCATTTGGCATTAACAGTAGCATAGGCATATGCAATAGAAGTAATAACTCATTGGTGACATTGGTTTCTCACATAGCCTAGGTGAATGAGTGCTGGTCCACATTTTCCATTTTGCTGTCGGGAATACATGGGGGAATACAGCTGATGAAAGACGGCCTATATATAAACTCTATGAATATTTGGAGGTTCATTGCAGGAGAGAGAGGACAAGCAGTTTAGTATTGAAAATGGTCAAGAGCTTTGTGCTTCGTTTTTTAATGGTATAGTTCTATTGTTTTCTCTAGTGAAACTAACAGCAAGTTGCCCAGTTCAATCTGGCTGTCCTTTCATGAGCATTTGGCTGAGAAAGCCCTCCATATGCTTTGTGCTGGTTTCACTATGTGGCGTAGTCTGGGTACAGTGCCTGCCATCATGCAGAGTTGGATCATGTCCAAAAAATTTCTTACTGATGATGGATGAAGTTGGGATTCCCCACTGCCTTATTGGCAGTTTTGAGGTCGGAATTGAAAATGAAGGCGGTGAATCTGTAGACTCCAACGGATAGACGAAGCTCAATAAAACATCCCATGAGACCACAGGGACAGTATTAATGTTAGACTAGTAGCAGGCAAACTAACACAGAAGGCCTGCTTCTGGAAAGCTCATGATGTTTTAAGAATTACAGACATGAAAAAAGCGCAGACACATCACTCACATAGGTGACGTGGCAAACATGATAGATAGGGTCTAGTGTTTTGAACCAGTGTTTGTGTCAGCACCACTGAATGACAGTACGCTGGAAGTATGTTTGATGCATGCAAATCAATAGGGTCTGTTCATGTCTCAGTACCCACAAGGCAAACAGGAAGCATAACCATTGAATAGCTGTTGTGTAAAGAGGATGTGGAAAAGAGGGTTGAGCATGGTGGGAAAGTGATCTCCTAGGAGCCAGTGAGTGACGGGGATGGCCACTTCACCCTGAGCAACTGTCTGTCAGAGGAAGTGAGGCGGGCAGGACAGGGAGATGAGCCGGCCGGCTGGAGAGTGGTGGCGAGGGGAAGAAGGAAATGTGTCTCTAACCACTTCAGTAAGTATACATACTATACATTAGAGAGAGGGGGGCTCAATGAAAAACACTGCAAGGGTGAAAGTATGTGCACTAAATCCAATTGTAAATCAAATAAATTAACAATTCTATGAACTGATCAATTTGAGATATACAGTATTAAATATTGAACAAAAGTGCACATTACAGACACATAACCTTTACCAGTAGCTTAGAAACGATGCATCAACACATGTAAAAGGAACTGCAGGAAACCACCTATGAAATGGACAAAACAAGCAAACACAAACTAACTCTCATGCAATAGCAAGCTACCGTTCATCCTACACTAGTTGTTGTTGGCGGCACTAGATTAGACATTCCCGAACCACGCCTCACATTGACAGTGATGGCGTCTATAATTCACACGTTGCTAAATCGCAGCATGTTAATGCTTACAACGTTTTAGGAGGTTAACACCATCATAAAATTAACCAGGAGGGACAGAGAGAGGCTGATTTATGTACATTGTCTCATTAAATATTTAAGAACTTGGGAGTCTGCACTGGAGGAGAGAAGAGAAGAGAAAGACAGGCAGAAGGTAGACAGGTCAATGGAGCGTCAAATAGCTAACTTATTGGGGAGGGAAAGAGAGAGAGTGAGATGTATTTTCCATAAAGCAGAGTAATCAGATTGAGGGAGAAAGAGAGAGTGAGAACAATTGGGGGGTTGGAAGGGTGATGAGAGAGAGTTGAGGAGAGCGCTGAGAGGAAAGCGAAAGTGAGTGGATGAGGAGGGGTGAGAGGAAGAACTCATTGGCAAACAAGGAGTGTAAGAGTTGGTATTGGAAATAGGCCTACATCATAAGTTTGAGCCACATTTACAATCACAATAGGTACTGAAGCCTCATGAACCTCCCAATAAAAGGATAAAACTCTCTTATGATTTCAAAAACGATATACATCACACTTGTTGGCTTGCTCTGCATGACAAATAGTACATGGAGGGCCCCACTGAATTGAAAACAGTGAGAGCTCAGCACCATCTGAAGACTGTGTTTTTGAGAGGCTGCTAAAGTTGGGGAGAGAGGCTGCTGAAGTTGGGGAGAGAGGCTGCTAAAGTTGGGGAGAGAGGCTGCTAAAGTTGGGGAGAGAGGCTGCTAAAGTTGGGGAGAGAGGCTGCTGAAGTTGGGGAGAGAGGCTGCTGAAGTTGGGGAGAGAGGCTGCTGAAGTTGGGGAGAGAGGCTGCTGAAGTTGGGGAGAGAGGCTGCTGAAGTTGGGGAGAGAGGCTGCCAATGGGAAAAATAGGGCCTAGGCTCACAGGTCTGAACTCTGATCAGCACCAGAAACCCTGGTGGAAACCTGGAGAAAGGGTTTGGGGTTCAAACAGGGTCTTTGACAGTGATATAGGGAACATAACACATGAGTTTACTGAGGTGTGCAGCCAAGGGGAGGGAGAAGGAGTTGAAAATAAGAGGAAGATCAGAGGAGGATTGATCATAATAATGAGGAAAGAGTTTAATTGGCCTCCTTCAGTGCCCAGGAAGCAAAGATGGATGGATGGATTTGGGGAAAGGTTCCATAATATATTCTTCTTCCATCTTTCTTTTCATCTTTGCGTTGAAACATAGGATCTAGAGCTCATCACTTGTGCATCTTGCAACAAAGTCACAATGACTTTGGGCTGGCATTGATGTCTCACCACCCTCAGTAGCTGTGTAAACAATCATAGACTCCAAGACCTGATACTGTATACAGTGCATTCGGAAAGTATTCAGACCCCTTGACTTTTTCCACATTTTGTTACGTTACAGCCTAATTCTAAATTGATTAAATAGTTTCAATCTGCACACAATACCCCATAATGACAAAGCAAAAACAGGTTTATAGAATTTTTTGCAAATGTATAAAAAATCAAAAACTGAAAATATAAATTTACATAAATATTCAGACCCTTCACTCAGTACTTTGTTGAAGCACCTTTGACAGCAATTACAGCCTTGAGTCTTCTTGGGTATGGCACTACAAGCTTGGCACACCTGTATTTGGGAAGTTTCTCCATTCTTCTCTGCAAATCCTCTCAAGCTCTGTCAGGTTGGATTGGGAGTGTCGCTGCACAGCTATTTTCTGGTCTCTCAAGAGATGATCGATCAGATTCAAGTCCGGGCTCTGGCTGGACCACTCAAGGACATTCAGAGACTTGTCCCGAAGCGACTCCTGCGTTGTCTTGGCTGTGTGCTTAGGGTCGTTCTCCTGTTGGAATGTGAACCTTCGCCTGCCGCTGAAAAACATCTCCACAGCATGATGCTGCCACCACAATGCTTCACCGTAGGGATGGTGCCAGGTTTCCTCCAGACGTGACGCTTGGCATTCAGGTCAAATAGTTCAATCTTGGTTTCATCAGACCAGAGAATCTTGTTTCTCATGGTCTTAGAGTCTTTTAGGTGCCTTCTGGCAAACTCCAAGCGGGCTGTCATGTGCCTTTTACTGAGGAGTGGCTTCCTTCTGGCCACTCTACCATAAAGGCCTGATTGGTGAAGTGCTGCAGAGATGGTTGTCCTTCTGGAAGGTTTTCCCATCTCCACAGAGGAACTCTGGAGCTCTGTCAGAGTGACCATCGGGTTCTTGGTCACCTCCCTGACCAAGGCCCTTCTCCCCAGATTGCTCTGTTTGGCTGGGCGGCCAGTTCTTGGAAGAGTCTTGGTGTTTCCAAACGTCTTCCATTTAATAATGATGGGGGACACTGTGTTTTTGGGGACCATCAATGCTGCAGACATTTTTTGGTACCCTTCCCCAGATCTGTGCCTCGACAAAATCCTGTCTCAGAGCTCTACGGACAATTCCTTCGACCTCGTGGCTTGGTTTTTGCTCTGACATGCACAGTCAACTGTGAGACCTTAAATAGACAGGTGTGTGCCTTTCCAAATTATGTCCAATCAATTGAATTTACCTTAAGTATAGACTCCAATCAAGTTGTAGAAACATCTCAAGGATGATCAATGGAAACAGGATGCACCTGAACTCAATTTCGAGTCTCATAGCAAAGGATCTGAATACTTATGTAAATAAGGTATTTCAGTTTTTGTTTTTTATATATATATTTGCAAAAATGTCTAAAAACCTGTTTTCGCTTTGTCGTTATCGGGTATTGTGTGAAGATTGATGAGGAAAATGTTTTTTTAATCAATTTTAGAATAAGGCTGTAACGTAACAAAATGTAGAAAAAGGGAAAAGGTCTTACCAGAACTACAGTACCAGAACTACAGTACATGCTATATCATCCACATGTGTACTGTCAGACATTACAATCTTACATTTGTTATCAACACATAACGCTGTTAGAAAATCAATGTCCTCTGTTTAAAGACAGCTGGTCTATCCTAGTCACTGACATGTCACATTTAAGTAAAGTCAAGGTCTTGCAGGGTTCAAGGGAATGGTCATAAATATGGTCACAGTGCAGAGCATTTTTCAGGTCTTAAATGACAACTCCCAAAACGATATTTTGATATTTGTTGATATAGTCCACTGTTGATATAGCCCCAAAATATTTTGCATGTCAGCAATCAAGTTTTCAAGATATATAGAATAACTTTTAAAATACAGAAATACAGCCAGTATGATGCATTTTGCATAATATAATGCAAAACCAGTGGAGGCTCCTCAGAGGAGGAAGGGGAGGACCATCCTCCTCAGTGAATTTAATAATAATAAAAATAGTGAAACATTAAAAAAGTTATCCTTTTTAGATAAAACTATCCTAAACATATTCAC